AGTGGACAGGGAGAGCCCCAGCACCAGGAAGCTGTCTTTTTGGGGAGCAGAAAGAGCACAAGAACCTGGAAGATGTCTACTCAGCAAGTAGGAAGAACCCCTGAACCTGGAAGGTAGTAGATCAAATAGAGCCTGAACTCCCCCAGTTGCTGGGGTCACACACAGCTCTCTGATCTCACTCTACGCACAATAACATCTCAATAGATCAGACCACAGAGGGACAGTACACAGCCTTTGTTACTCCCCTCTTGCCCATTACAAATTGTGGAAAGAAAAGAAATATCTATGAGTGACAGAATATGAAAAGAAATTCCAAGATCCAGAAATAACAGTGGAGCACACTAAGCTTGTGCTTATTTAGCCAGGGGCTGGCATCAGACAGTTTGAAAAATACATACTCTTACTGTAACATACATCTTATACTCCTATTATACATAGATACTCTTATCGTTACACAGTACTATATTTTAAAACAAAAACAACCCTGGTGGAAAAAATAACTTAACGAGAAAGCAGATGGTCATTTTAGGCAGGCCCATCTGGAAATTTTCCAACAGACCAAACCATCACAAAGCTGATCGTGATGGAAATAGTCCTGAGAATGTGGTTAATAAACACACGCTATTATTTGTTGTGTTTTTCAAGCAATACTCTAGATGAGAACATGCAATGGAAATAATCATAAACTCTTAAAACTGTACTGAATACCGCTGAGTCAATGACCCGAGCAGCACATAGCTGGCTGTAATCCAAACACAGGATTTTCCACAGATGTGTTGAAGAAAAACACAGTGATATCATAGAGCCACTATTGACTTTTTTCTCTGGTAACTCGATAAACTACATTTAAAATTGGAAAAGAGTAAAAGTTAAGAATAGAGCACCCTGCACAATCACACACTAAGATGTCAAGTTTTGCTGTTTGGTTAATTTAGTGATAAATCAGTGCATCAGAACTGTGAACAAAACAATGTAAATTAGACACTACACAGTCTGTCAGGACACAAAATACAAAATAATATGCCGGCAACCAAAAACCAGGCACTACATCATGCTTTTCACGTATGGACAAAATGGAGGAAGAACGATGTTCACATAATAAAAGTGTGATTTTCTGCTCAGGCTTGGGAGATGACTATTGATAATTGGTAAAGATTCTGCAGAATCTGTTATAAATCTTGAAAAGATTATACAAATATAAGTAATTTTATACAACTTAATTTACATTAGGCTGTGTATAAATCTAATTTTAGCACAGTTTTCACAACTGAAAAGTAACACAGCTCATGCCAAGCCTACGACGTGGAATTTCCAGGTATAGAGAGAAAGTTCTCTGCAGAAAAACATTACATTTCCTTTCAATTAAACGGCTCTGCACTGTAAGGATGTAGTGGTGGTAAATAGTTTGTTACCTGTATGAGTCCTGTTGTGCCTCACTAGCTGGCTAGGTTTAGCGAAGGCCTTGTCACAGGAAGAACATTTGAAAATCTTCGGCCTCTGAGAACTCAGCGAGGGCCCCTGCTGGTGAATGTGCTCATGCTCCTAATTTTGGAAACAAGAAGAAAGAAACCGGTGATTTGACTGTCAGTACACTAGCCAGGAAATTACTGATGACCATCTTCACTGAACAAGCTTCACTCACTCACAAGCTGTCAGCTCCTCAGCTTTTCTGTTCTAACGCCATTAGAACAGAAACAGGTGCTTAGCTCACTCCCACATAGCCTTCAAACAAACACAAGAGAACCTGGGACACATTCACTTGTTTTTAACTATGTAATAGTCAGTCAGATACTAGACACCTGTATCCACTCAGATTCACAGAGACTTCAGTCTCTAAAAGATGGAGAGCAAAGAGGTAGCTTACTCAGAGCAATGCACAGTGAGTCAGGGGTATAGCTGTGGGGCTCAAAGCTTTAGGTGTTGGTATTTTATTACAACAAATATTCCATTACTTCCAATATCGTTCATTACAGTACTATTCTAATTGACTTTCTGTGAAGGCTTTTTAAAATTTATTTTAACTAAATAAATTAATTGATGCTGTCTGATAAAGGAAGCATATCCAAGTTACTTTACTGACCTCAGTGATGAATCCGTAATAAATATTACAGAACAGAAACAAGAAGACCTGTACCAAGAACCAAGATGATAAAGTGGGAACAACTTAGTTACAGATAATGTACGTTACTGACAGAGACTATTGCACTTCAAGTATACATGATCACACCCAACATTATGACTTAAATGACAAAATTCATTTTCTTCTAAAACTCTGACCATTCCTATTATCCATCCCATCATCAGTTTAACAGTAATCAGTTTTGTTGCAGGTTTCTTATTCTTGTGAGAGTCATGGAAAACTGGTTCCTAAAAGCACAAGAACCACAAGGTGGGATTGACAGAGCAGAATGCCAGTTATAGAACTAGAAACATACTATAAAACACTAAAATTCAATTTTCTCAGTAAAAGTTATGCATTCAGGGAAGTAATCCATAAAAATCTTATTTCCTCTAATGTCTTGTATAATGCAGCTGTTGGACTCGTTTTGTTTTTTAAAGACTGTTTGCTGGGATACCAGGACTAACCTTTCTCCCTGTGGCAGCAAATTAAAAGAACTTTAAAGGACATTATCAAAGCCTCCTCAACCTTAACATGATTAAACTCACTGTACACTTCACTGAAGGCTGTGTGTTTTCAACTTTAAAACTTTTACTAAGGAACAGAGTTGGAGGAAATCTTCCATGCACTACTTAACATTAATATTTTAAGCAGTTTGCATTTATTTCTTTCTAACACTCCGGACTGTATAACCAGTAGTTTACTTTTTGTTGAATTTGAAACCAATGAAAATATTAAGAAATGCAGTGTATAGCTATTCATATTTTTGTGCGTTTAGGACAGACAAACTCATTCACAGCTGTAACAAGCAATTTGCCACACTCAGCTAAACAAAATGCTTTAGTCATTTAATTTACTCACTCTGAACTCTTTTAAGGGCAAACTGAAGTTATGCACATATTCTAACAAAAGTGAATATATGTACTATATACTGCATACAAGACAGTATTTCAGTTTACTCTGTGATCTTCCTTTCACAAAAATGTTCAGAATTTCATGGAGCATTGTTAAAAAAGCTTGTATTTATATACAGGAGACAGTCCCTTCCTTATGTGCAGGTTCTTTACAAGAAAAAATGGGATTGTCCTGTTGCAGACAATGTCAATTTGAGAAAGAAAGAATGAATTAAAAAATCTCAGTCCTTTGAATGTAGGTTAAAGATTCATAATATAAATTCACTGAACAATATTACTGCTGAAGAAAAACAAGCATTACAAAGGCAAGATTTTAACACATATATAGTGTGTATTTATATACGGATGTATAATACTGAACTTTCTTTAAAGCTATGAAAATAGTAGACTTGTGTTGCAGAGGTGTTTTTCACTCTGTGTTTAAGGAATGTTAGTGGAGACGTACGCTTGGTCATCTTGTGAGGTATATGAATTCCTGCACATTGTGCCCATCACAGTGGTCACTGGGATAAGTAACCACTCTTATAGGTTATCATAGGCCAGATGAGGCTGCCCCAGCCCACTCAACCTCCTACCAATTACAATTCTGTTTCATTCAAAAACATCCACTGTGCTGAAACCGCAGAAGCTTTTTTGTGGTGCAACAACAGTCGGAAACCCAGTTTGATTCACATTACAAGCTGTTATTTTTCAAGGAGTTCCTCCTCATTTCCAGATGCAGCTCTGATTCATTCACACAGATGCGCTCTAGCCCTCATCACTGAATCTTGAATGAAGAAGAGGTCTGGGCTAACTCTGTAACTCTCTTGATTACGTTTCCTCCAAAATGAATTGTGCTTGATATTAGATTCCCTTCAGATCAGTACCCCTTCATATTGTCGCAGGGAATGTGGTGGCCAAACAGAATGAACACAAACAGGCCATTCCCTATGTGGGTTGGACATGGGAAAGACGAGTTTCATGCAAAACTGAAATACAAACAGAAACAAAGCTGTACTGTACCTTGAGGTGGGTTGCCCTCTTGAAAGCTTTGCTGCAGACCCGACACACATGACACCTCTCCTTCCCATGGGCCTGCCTGCAGTGACGCCTCAACATGATGGTGGTGGGGAACACCTGGTTGCAGTAGAAGCACTGGTTCAACTGGGTGGACGGCTCGACTGCACTGTCCTTCAGGGGGTGTCTGCTCACTTCTGGCACCTTCAAGAGTGAAATTAAACTTTAAGATATTGGACACTAGCAGGCAGTAAATCCAGATTGAACACATACCTTTACTCCACACGACAATTTACTCTGCTAACTGCCATATCACCACAAAACAGATGTAGTGTTTGACAATTAATGCCTAATTGTGTAAAGATTTCTGCTCTCAGCTAGCGGTCTTACTCCTGCTGGAATTGTAAGTTTCCATTTGGTGAACACCTGCAAATACTTAATTTTTCTCTTCAGAGCTTCGCTTTAATTAAGCAGCACCCCTTTAATGCAAACATGCATTTAGGTCTGTCATTTACTTTTTCCTCATTCTGCAAACGCTACTTAAATTCTCAACAAGAAAGAGACATTCTTTGAGTCATAAATCATTTCGATATACATTGTTCCAATTAAGAAATACAAATCTCCGATATAGCCTATTATGTGCAGTTTTCATCTTGATTTGAAACAGCATCAGACCCAAATCATTAAAAAACAATGTGCAGAAATCTAGCACCATAAACTTCATTATACAGCAACCAAAGGTTTTTTCAATCCCACACTGCATTACAAAAGAGGTCATTGTAGTGCCTTATAAATATATTATAATTATTAATACATCTTAATTTGTTTTCTTTAACTGCTTTGAAGATTAGTTTTTGCTTTTTTCTTTATTTTAGCTTTCCTTACGTGTTGATAACATTTTACTGTTTTGAGGGTAAGTTCCTGCCTGGCACATAAACTAAGCAAAATGTGGAACCATTATCTATTGAGATAACACTATCACAACTGAGTGCCATCTGATGTACCAGAGCTTTAGTCTCAATCTGGGAGATGAAGTAATTGTTTTCTTCTTTATCGTTTGTATCTTTTTGCTTCTCAATTTAGAATAAAGACAGTAATCCGGAATTAAACCAAATTTACAACCGGAGTTAAGCAACTCAGAAAAAATTGAAAATGTAGGTGAATCAGTCAATAGATGACCATTTGTTTTTTTTCAAAAATGAAAAAAGGAGATGTTTCTATGTACAGTACACAGTGTATTTATGAACCAGGGGATTCAGGTTTCCCAGATAATAAAGGCTACCACAGTTGAAGCAAACAAAACGGCTGTCCAGATGACTCAGACAGAAAAAACTGTTGTGTTACTATGGGTATTGCATAAACATAAAACAGTGCATTCATAGAAATATAATTTCTATATATACTCTTTTTGGAAAAGTTTCAGAATCCTTACGACACTGTAGTTATAGTAAATGTTTTTCTACTCTACCACTCCCTCATGAAGTGAGATGTCATTCCGTATATCTATGTTTTCTCAATTTTAATCTAAGAACTCAGAATTTTATTGATTAAAAACCACATTAACAGGTGGCATGGCCTCAGTACAATACATATTCAATGGGACTAAATGTTGCTCAACAAGACATGCATTTGCACATTGTCAATCATTAAAGTGCTGGAGAATACAGAACAGTATGAAAACCAGTTATTGTTGATATGAAATTGATAAGTGTGTTAGCTGTACGTCAGTGCTGCTCACCCGAAAGCTGTCATCTGTGGCTCCTGCAGTGCTTTGTTGGGGGTGGCTGACAAGTATGACTTGCTGGGAGGGGTTACCAGTCTGCCCTTGGAGACTGGGGTCACTGAGAATGGCAGGGAACTGCTGCCCCTAAAGAAAGGTCACACAAAAGATATACCACTGCAACACTGAACACACAATGTCAAGGCAAAACAAAAATCATTCTAAAGCATAACATCAGCACAAGCATTTAAACCAAACACTAGTCTGTGATCTTGAAGTCAAAATAAATTGAGGAACCACTATAAAGAAACTTCAGTAGAATCCTAAGTATCCATTCTCTCTCGGTCCTGTGCTATCTGAATGAGAGCCACTACTGAACTGCCACACTGACTTGCACTCAATAAGTTAAGGCCAGATCAGAAGAGACACTGAACTCTCCAGTGAGCTGGAAGTTGATATGTTATTAAGCTGATGCACAGCTGAAAAGTCATTTAGAACTGCTGTGCACAGCAAAATATTTGCAGAAGACAAGAGAAAACTCATCCTCCTTTATAAAACCAATCCCATGTGTCACAATTCAGACTTCAAAACACAGACATATCAAACAGACCAAAGATTCTCTATTTTAATCCTGGAGGACACATATGTTCTGTATCTCAGTCTCAGTCTGCAATATAGAACATACCTCATCACTGAGGCTAATTTAACAGTACTTGTTATTTGGGACCTTTCACTTTAGCTCTTAAAAAGCTGAATGGAGTTAATACTTAGCTTTATCCCCATACCTGTTCCTGGATTTCAGAACTCCCCTCCCTCTGATGTGCAGAATATAAGTAATTGGATCGATGAAGAATTAAGACTTCAATCTGTGGGACAGTTAGTGCTATTCCTACCTTATGCAATTAGACACATACTGAGCTGTTCAGACAGCAGAACTAAGGATGCATCTGCTTAATGCAATACATAAATTAAGAATTGACTGAACAGACGTCACCTGGAGCAGGGTATTTCTGAAACCAAGAGCTCCATGCATTTTAAAGGAAAGGATAAAATGGTCTAATCCAGCAAGCCATTCAATTAAAGGGATGTGAAATTCACCTGCTGAGTGATGTTCAGGGTGACTGTGTCAAGGCTCTCTGACAGCATGCCCTGTGTGTCTGCCAGGGTGAGGGTCACACTGCCATCGGTGCCCACTCCAGCAGAAGACATTACCAGGCTCTGGGAAGTGACCGGGGCTTGCGACAGGGATGTGCTGGAGGGAAGGCTGCTTGCTGGTACATTGTGAAAAGAACACAGGAGCAGTTATGCCCTGCAAATATGTAAGTGTTGCACAAAGCATTCAAGCAGAAAATACCAGTGTGGATTACAAAAATCTTGTAATTCCAAGATCAAGGTAGATGAGATATATCTGGCCTAGCTAACCCTGGTCCTGCAGAACCATAGTCCAAGAAATCTAACAGGTCATAATTAAAGCATCAATTCTGAGCAGTTTAGTAATTAATTGGTTCAATTAAGCTAGGAATGGTCAGCCATAGTCCTTTCAGAGTTACATGGTGGTTGTGTTTTCATTTCTGATCTCTGAACTTCTTAATTCAAATTTTAAATGCAAATGAAAATGTTCCAAGAGTTTTCATTTAATGATCTATTGACCCATAAAACCTGCTGGATTTTGGCTATTCCTGTGCAACCCCCAAGATTTAGTCCAGAGAGTACTAATGCTCCCAATCTAGTAAATGTAAATCAACTGTCTCATTCAAACTGTATCATCCGGTTGTCTTTGAGAGCGTCTCACTTGTCGTTTCTACACTCTTCAAGCTGAAGAGCTGCTTAGACCTCTGTCTATATCAATTCCTCGTGGGTACAAAAATGACAACACCAGCTCAGCTCAAGAGAATGCTTTTCACACAACAATTGCTCCTGTGCATACAAGTGCATAACTGCTCTTATGAGAAGTAAGGTGTAGACTGTTATGTAACGAGGATCAGTGCAAAACCGGAGCACAAGCCTCTCAAGAAGCAGCTTCCAAGGATTCCTGCCCTTCTCACTAGACAAGATCAAGACTTGCCCCAAACCTGTAGCCCAGACACATCTTGCACTTTGTTTTGAGATCTGAACTCTAGTGCATCCCTACAATGTTGAGTTTCTTTTCAGGTCCCATGAATGTGTTCTGCAACACTAATATCAGGATCTCATGTAGGGGACACGGGGAACATTTTTCTTCTTACCTGTGATTCCAGTGCCAGTTGGGCTCTGAGGTAGAAGCTGGTCACTCCCTATTGTCAAACTGGCACCATTTGGCTGTGTAGGGATAGGAGACGTCAATCTAATGCCTCCATTTATCTCGGCACTTCCTGTTGTACCATGCTGCGAGATGATATCTTGACCTTGGGATGATGAAAAACAAGATAATGTGAGTCACATGGATAATCTCAGGAAGCACCTTACCCCATATCTTCTACATTTTTGTCAAGATCACAAGAAGTATCAATTGTTCCAGCTTTCAGTTGCTGCAGACCCTGCATATAGAATTTAAATCTCTTTGAAATAGCGAATACCAATGTTTAAACAGAAAACATATTGTTTTTTAACATGCTGTTGTGTGAATAGTTTCTACCTTCCTCTAAAGCTCCAATTACCATTTTGCACACTAGAAACATATAAATTTATGCTATATTATAAACACTGAGTGGAATAATTCTACTTGAAAAGACAACAAAAACTATATTGTAGACTTTTTGTACAAACCTATAGGTCTGGAAACACAGAAGTCATTATATTATCAGTTAAGCCCAGGTCATAGAAAATACCATTTAAATCCCCTCCTGATCTAAATAAGTAGACACTTAAAGAGCCTTTCTTTAAAATGATAAAATAACCTGCCTGAGATGTTAATCAGCCTCATAATTAGCTGAGACACTGGCGTAAATGCAAAATAGTAAGCATTCAAGAACAGTAAAGATATAAATGACAAAAAATATATAACCTGCGGACAAAATCAAAACATTTTTAAATATTTCTATTTTACCGTTTTCAGTTGGCAAACACTACCTAGCTACTGCGAATGAGTTCTGTATTACGTCTCAGTTTACAAATCAAATAAAATCACTACAAATGTGACTCTCCAGCTACGTATATAACATATATACATGTTTTGTCATGAATAATAAAGTACACCTCAAGGAATTAGTCATATCTGCACTATGAACAAGATCCAAAAGGTTTGTAAGCACATTCGTACAAACAGAATCTCTGTTTCCAGCCAGTAGAGAGGACAGAGTTAGCTATGAGCAGATCTGCATATTAATGTACAGTATTAACACAGAAGGAGAGGATGGAGGAATGTAGGAGGTTTTGGCACAGAATTTGACAAAACAGGAAAAACTGCGAGAGAAGGGTCCAGCACAGACTAAATAGGCAAACACCAAGTAAGGATGTTTGTCAATAAACAGCTTTCATCAACTCCCACTCTGTTGGAAGTAGATTATTCTGATTCACTTTCTTGGTGGATTTAGGACATTCAATATTCAAATGTCTAAGCAAATGTCCAGTATGTAAAGGAACAAGTAATAGATTTACTCCATGCTGAAAAGAGAAGAAAGAAAACAACATTTCGGCCATGGAGCCGTCTTCAGGTGTGAGAGTATGTAGGTGTGAGGTCTGTCCAGTATGTAGTTTCACGTAATCCCAATGGACAGGCTGCAGGCAGAAATACAGAAGGACACTGCACAAAACACTCAAGATATACTATGCTTCCATTTCAACAGTCATCCATCCATTTTCTGAAATACTGTCCTGTATGCAGTATATAGTACATGCATTCATTTTTGTTAGAATATGTACATAACTTCAGCTTGCCCTTAAAAGAGCTCAGAGTGGGTAAATTAAATGACTAAAGCATTTTGTTAAGCTGAGTGTGGCAAATTGCATGTTACAGCTGTGAATGAATTTGTCTGTCCTAAACACACAAAAATATGAATAGTTATACACTGCATTTCTTAATATTTTCATTGGTTTCAAATTCAACAAAAAGTAAACTACTGGTTATACAGTCCGGAGTGTTAGAAGGAAATAAATGCAAACTGCTTAAAATATTAATGTTAAGTAGTGCATGGAAGATTTCCTCCAACTCTGTTCCTTAGTAAAAGTTTTAAAGTTGAAAACACACAGCCTTCAGTGAAGTGTACAGTGAGTTTAATCATGTTAAAGTTGAGGAGGCTTTGATAATGTCCTTTAAAGTTCAATACAGAGTCGTGGGGGGGTCAGAGCCTATCTCGGCAAGCAAAGGGCACAAGACAAAGAATGCCTTGGATGGGACGCCAGTCCATCACAGGGCAGACACACTCAAACACAAACATGCACATACTCACACCAGGGCCCATTTTCCCAGCCCATTTCCAGTATGTTTTTGGACTGCGGGAGGAAACCCACCCGAACTTGGGAAGAACATACAAACTCCACGTAGAAAGCACCTCAGGTCCAGAATTGAACCCAGGACCCTCGCACGGCCAGGCAGCAATGCTAAAAACTGTGCCACCGTGCCACCATCTGTTATTAAAATGCTTTATCTTTTTGGTGATGGTGAAATACATTTTACCAAGCCATTTCAAAGAAATTCAATTAAAAAACCTCTATAAAACAAAATGCAATTTGGGAAGGCTTTGCATAGAAATCTGGTTTCCATGACATCAGCATCGACAGGACAACACAAAATTGTTTTGATACTATTGTATTTGCTCAAAATGGAAATCAATTATTAATAAGCAGGATGATTCATAATACTGCTCATTTTTGCTGGCAAAAGGTTAATAATTATTCAGCCTTAAGTGTTTCTCCCACAAAATTATTTTTAATATATTTTTTCACAGAAGAGTTTTGAATTATGCAGGCAGAATACAATAATGGTATAAATAAAACCATTTTAAACAACTCTTCAACTGGTTATGTACGTACAAAAATATTTTAGTGTTTCTTTGTAATAAATATTTTAAAGGATTATTTTTTTCTGTGAAGTGTCTTGCTACTTATTATGTAATAAGAAATCATATACACAAAAATAGAAAAACAAAGAGTATTTAACCTCAGGAAAAAGCTTCTGGATTATTAAAGTAACACATAACATTTCTATATTTTTTACTCTTTACCAAAATAAGTATTTAGGATGCTTACAACACTTAAAACCAGTAGGCTGGTTGGACAGGTCTCAAGAGATGGCTGATATTACTATTAGTAAAATCAAGGACCGAGATGTCTACAGAGCACTGATATAGTACACAGGAGATCTTCAGAGTGAAAAAATGCACAACCTTTGCTCCTATTTATTTTGCAGCATGGAATTAAGCTTGTTCTTTTGCAGCTTGCGTTATGCCACAGCTATCTGCTCTGACAGCTTGAGACGCACCTCTAAATCATTCATAGCTGTGCGGTTTCAAAGTACAACTTAAATACTGCAGCTCTGAATAAATCTTAGACCACACCAGGTAAACTAAAAGTACAGTAAGACCACCTTCAGACAGTGACATCCAGAAACTTGAAAGACAGTGTCTTCTTTTGAGAGGGGTCATAGAACCAGATCAATATGAACACAACCTTAAGAAAAGTAATAGGAAGTACTGTATTACTTGTCCCTGGTGCCTGTTTGTTCATTGGCACTCTCCCCTGTCAATACACTGCGAAAACTGGACTTCTGACAGTTTGCTTAACAGCACTCAAATGAAGAAATGTCATAAAAAAATAAGAAACATATTTACAGAGAACAACATGGAGGGAAAAAGTACAATTTACCTTCTATACATGATATTTGGACATTTATAATAGGGATAAGTTGCATTTGTACTGGGAAAACAATTTCAAAGTTGCACTATTTCCAATTAAACCTCTATTTAAACACATAATCAATTATTTAGAACTTATTCTTATTTAAGATTCTCTGGAAGACACCCATTTCTAAAGCAGGGGATTTCAGTGAAAGGAGTGAAACTCCATGCTCAAGGGGACAACAGCAGTGCTCCTCCTGGGATTTAAACCCAAAAGCTTACAGTCACAATTCAAGACCCCCTACTACCACACTACTGACTACTAGGATCCTCACTCAAGGCGCACCCACATGTAAACTGTAATAGTCCATTAGCTCTTCTGAATTTTTACTGATGATATGCATGTGTCACTGACACGTTTTCTTGGGCATGTTAAACAATGGCTTGGAATAAGAAATGGTTGATAAATGTCAAAATAACAGAACAGTCATACCACAGTTACAGCCCCTGAGAATTAGTCCTAAAAAGCTAGATTAATTCAACAGACAGCTTGAAAACTCAGCAGGGAGCATTTCTTCTTAATTTGACTGAAGAAATAAAGTCGCTGAATGTCAGTATGTAAGAGTGACTTTGATGGGAGAAACATGGGCAGAGAAGATACAGCTCAAGAGAGAAACAACTTTTACAAATTAACCTTCGTTTATTATTAGTGCAAGACTTGCTGATGTGCTGTTGTAAAGCAGGGCAGCAAGCTGCTGTGAGGGTCTACTTGTTCTCTCCTTGCCACAGTTCTCTACAGGAATTATACAAAGAGGCCTGGAAAGATGGAGGTACACAGAGGAGTGACTGAATTTAACCAAATGGAACAGACCACAAACAGTCATGACTGCAAAAATTAACAAAAACTGTCCCACGTACACCACCTGTTTCAGCATTTTTTGCTCTGTGGCGAGTTTAGTATTCACAGCCAATGTTGGGCCAGCAGTCTACTGAGAAACTGAACTTCGAAAAGCATGAGATTGGGTTCACCGAGTGCAGCACTGCTACAGGTCTGTGAATGAGCTTTCTGATGGACATGTTGTCACACCCACCCCATGCCTCTGACCGTCTCATATTGTTGGCCAACTACTGAGCTTATTAAAAAGCTCAAAGATGCGTTGAGTTCAGCACCTCAATTGCAGCCCTTTATCATCACTGTTGAAAAGAATATTTCAAGATCACGGTATCAAGAGACAGAGGCTACAACTCCTGTACTGACGTCTGAATTGAGCTGACCACAATATTCGCCTTCTCCGCTCTGAATGAAATAATATGTCAGGGACATTTTAAAGTCAAGAACATCTAATAGAGTTCCTTTTAACCAAGGGCTAACAGAGAAAAACTTAGTCAAGCCAAACATACAATGCAATTTCCATGACTACAAATGTTTGGACTACAAATCCTTCTGATCTATTAATAGAATACAATTAATATAATTAAAATTCAAAATTAAGCACAAAATCGTGAACTTTGTGAAAGTACTATATAGTTACTTATAATCACAAACCACTGCCCTTGCTACAAGGGAGAGCAAGAATTTGTGGGAACTGTACCATGGGGCGACCCTTCCTGCTCACTAGTCACTGTAATGATTAATGTAATGCGAGCTGAATAAGTACAGGTTGTGCAGCAGATATTTCACTGCAGAAAAGTCCCGACATGATCACCATGCAAAGCTAACAAATAAGTTGTATTTGTCGGCAAAAACAATCAAGATCAATAATTCAATTGGATTAAAACAGATCTATTCGCATCCTTGCTTGCTTACAATGTAATAGCATCTCTTCATTTCACCAGAAGTTTTGTCGCCTCATTCTGAATCGCAGAATGGTGCTGCACATACCTATAAATTTTGCCTTTTTGAATTGGAGGTTTAACACGTTACTGCGTATATTTTACTTTCATTGAGGCAATTGTTTCTATCCCTGAAATATAAAAATAGCATTGCACATCCGCCTTAATGTCTCGCTATTCTGAAAGTGAGGAAGATATTGGCAAATGTCTGAAACTGTAGTTAAAGCTAGTCACTGTGTTGGATTCTGTGCATGGAGCTGAATACCGAGCAGTTAAGATTTCAATTACAAAAGACAAGGTGTTGGGAGTTTTGTCAAGGTTATTCAGCACACTTGATGCCAGGAAGGCTATCACAGTTTATCGGCTGGAGAAGTTACAAATGCAAAAACAGATAAAAAAAATCTAAAACTAAACAAACAGTCAAGTTTATCAGTACTAGTGTTTGTTGCTGTTGCATGTTGTGGAGCTCAGCATTTACAGAAATCTTAAAATATCTGAGACAATTCACTTTAAACTCAAGGTAGCTTCAGTACATGTTGTTTTAAGGGGGGTGTTGGGGTGGGTTCAAACACTGTGCTTTCACATCACTCAGGAACACTTCAGACTGTCATCCAAACTACTGTGCTGAAATGCTCCTTATCCAAACATCAGATGTTTTTAGATTTCTTAATGATGAGATACAATGAAATTCCAAAATGGGATCAAACAAAGATGAAACAGATACAGTATCTGCACTATTAGGGAAATGGATAGATTAGGTTTGTTATGTGGGTAACATAGGTATCGTATTGAGAAAATAGTGCTCAATAGCCCTCTAAAGTCTGGAGACAAAGTGGTCCAAGTGTCATTAGCTCAGTTAGGTAGTTCAGAACTCAGCAGAATGAAAACCAGAATCCCTTCTGGGCTGTGAGGATGGCTGTTGAAAACCTGTGCCCTGAGAGTGCCCTGCACAACCTTGCGGGCCCATACCTGATATGGTTAGTGTGATTTCCTGAGGGCTTGCTGACAAGGGGGTGGGATTTGAGCCGGAAGCCTGGGCCAACACCTGGCTGAAGCTGGAATTATTGATTGTCAGAGTGATCTCGTGCTGAGCGTTCGCAGAAGCCACGAGGCTCTGGGACGTCATGACCTGGGAGAGATCCTGAGAACCTAAGATGAAAGTGGAAAAAAACTCAGTAGCTTTTCATCAACATACATACCAGCAGTCTTACTAGTTAAGAAACATTTCTCTTTCAGAAGGTCATCTGAAAAGGATATTTAAAGATGAAGAAACACATATGATTAGAAGACTGTTTAGATGCATATGACCGTTGTCAAACACTTTCCTCAGGTCTGGACACTTGGGACCCTGGCATTCTGGGGCTGGACAGGTTCCATGGGTCTTAGCAAATACAAGATAGCATCATTTGGCACAATTTACTATGTTATTCAAATTAAAAAGTTTGACTCTTCCTGACAATGTAGGCATACATCTCTCATGTCTTTAAAAAGCCCACACAGCTTCATTTTCAGAGACTTGCTTCCAAAAGTGAATCTTTTTACAGTGATCTTTGTGAATTTGCACCCCTGTTCAAGAACCCATATGCTTTTCTTATTAACTCTATAGGTCACACTGTGTATAAAGCTTACCCCAGGCCTTTCCCTAAATACTATTTTCATCACAATATTATATGCAGGTGTATTGGTGTTATAGCAACACAATTCACATCTAAGAGGAAAACTTCCTAATAGTCCTGGGAGCTAAGGTAATGCAAGTCTACTGAAAGATAGTCAAACTTTTCCCGGTCATCCTGTGAACATTCCCAATATTACAAGAATTGAGAGGAACAGGAACAGGAGGGTAACTGAGGCTTGTAAAACAAAACGCCTCTTTAAAGAGATAAAAATAGGCCCATTTAAAATGACCACAACAGAGTACAGCACTACTTTAATGGTTTCTTTCGCTTCTGGTTATTATTCCAAAAGACACATTATGTTATTTCACCGTTTTTAATGCAGTACATGCATAAAATTATTTATTCGCTCTTCTGAAACTGGAGTTGAGTCAGAGGCGTGGTGATCTTCAGTAAGACAACAGCCGTTCATTCACGCACTCCGGTTTCATCATTCATAAATGAACACAACGACAGACGCCCCTGCTGTGATCTTATTAGTGCCCTGCTGTGCTGTCAGAAGCTGCTGTTCAGAGCACAGGAAGGATTGTGGGGGGAAAAAACACACAAATTGATAGAAAGAAAACAGCTAGCCCTCAATGCACAGCAGTGATGTGTGCTGCACACAGGTTAAGTATTTTTTTTTTCCTGTGTTCAAACTGCACTAAAGATTAGATAGTAAAATATTAGAAAATATGCAAATGAGACCAGCTTGTGTAACTCATCTTGCTCATGTGTTTTTATATTATTCCCGTGGGGTCTTTTAGAACCACATTACCACTGATAAGAAGAAACTTTTTTTTAATCTAAAATTTATATTGATTATTTCTTCTTTTAATTCCATTGTAGGATAAAAAGATGCCTAATGTGTTTCGGCTCTTTGTCGGGGCAAAAGGTCATTCATTTTATTCATTAGCACTCGTCATTCATATGGTGCAAGAAGCTCAGAATAATGGATTTATCATTCATTTATTGTCAGCTTAATGGCTTGAGGTTACATTTAAGCCAGATGAGGTGTGACAAACTTTAAGCATTGATGCATTTTTTCCTTGTCTCCATTAAGGATAATCAGTGCCAAAGACGATTGTGGAGGCTGACCTGTTGCTCAGCGAGTGTATGAATCATGAGCAAGACGGAAAAAGCAAAAAAAACTGGAATACACAAAGCAACAACTAATTAAGCGGAGAAGCTCTGCTGAACGGGGAAGGACGTGAGACCAGAAGGCCCAGCGATGTCTACCTACCGCTGCTGCTCGTTGTGAGAACAGCATCTTGCTCCGCCAGGCCACTGATGGTCATGCTCGCGGAGGTGACCGTGGGCTGCAAGGACAGGCTGGTGAGCGGGTGGATCACCACATTGGCCGGGACGGAGGAGTCCCCTGTGACCAGGTGGGCCCCTGGTTGCTGGGCCAGAGTGGAGTCTCCAGTTAGCTGATGGGAGAGGAGGTTGCCCTGTTGCAGAGTCTGCTGCAAAATGCTGGGGTCTATCTGTTTCGGGGAAAAGATGGACAAAGCTTTCAGTGGCCAAGGTTTGAAAGGCAAAGCCATCGGGTGAACTGGTGCACATTGTAGACGTCACAGGCTCTTAATTTTTTCATAGGGAAATGTCATGTGGACCAGCTGACAGGCTGCTATATATTAAATAAGTACTGCAATATAGTGCCTTACATACTGTACGCATACATTCAGAAAATAAATGTAATAATCTAACGGTTCAATGACACATGGCTCACATATGTGCATGCTTGATATAAAAAAAGTACTCTTTCAAGTCTTACTTCAGTTTTCGAAGACCAACACATTGAACGATTCACATAATTTATTAGATTGGTTGTACTTTGTTTTTAAAAAGAAGTACAGTGTCATTTGTCATGCTTCAGCATCATGTGTCAGAGACCAGAAGGCCTACCTGCAGCATTATGTTGTTGATGTTGCTGGTGTCAATGCCAGAGATCTGGACATTGGGACACACTAAATTAGTGGGTGTGAGCTGTAGCTGAATCCCTTCAAGTGCGGCCAGTCCAGCTTCTGTAAGAGACACTGTCAGATCTCCACCTGCTGATAAAAAAGAGATATTTGACTTCTCACAATGAGCAACATACAGAATTGTATGATTTATGATGTATGATGACTGCACTTGCTTTTCCGTTTTTTTAAATTGCATTAATTAAGGTTTGAAAGAGTTTACTATCACAACTATCACCCCTTTAGTCTGGATTTGCAGGTGACTTCAAACACAAACATGAAAGTTAAACGCTGAAGTTGGACTGGGAATTGTGTGCATTATTGGTGATCCTAAATTTAACATAAATAAATCAGGTACGTTTATGTATTTTACACAGGCAACACAAAACTAGTCTAGAAGCTAGAACACTCTTCACACACAAGCCTTGAGAATAAACTTTCATGAGCTGAAGAGGAGAACTATCAGGGATATTCCATATGAGCTATAAAATCAAGCATCAGAGCATCCATAATAAGAAATATGAATGGCATATGTTTAGAGCTTATTATTCAGGATCCTGCCAGAAGATACCATAAACAATGAAGGGAAAAAAACTGCATAGTAAATCTGTTTACAGAGATAAGAAACATGAGTGTAATTGAATAACCAACCTTCCAAGAAAAAATAATTCTCTGGAAAAATAGAATATTACAAAAAACAGTCAGCCAAATCTAAAACAAAAATGATGAAACCAATATGTTTTTGTAACTTCTAATGGCAGTCCAAACTTAATCACACTGTAGTAGAATTTCAGGAGAACTCATTAAGCCTGTGGAAAACATTTTCATACATTCCAAAGGCTAAGTTGCAGCTTAGATAACTGCCTTAAATAAAAAATAAATTTAGTTGATGATTTGCTAGATTTGCTAGATTTTATATGTTTGGGGAAACGCCACGTTGCAGAAACACATAACCTTGTTAATATGGACCAAGATACACCAAGGGCATACTAGCCTTTCATAGCATTTTTACACCTCAAAAACGTTTCAAAGCTTTTAATTTATAACTATATTAAAAATATGTAATACTTGTGTGATGCACCATAACAGATATGACAAAGCACTAAAATATGAAGAGTAAAATGCTTTAACAAAACTTTCAAAATACATTAAAAGGAGAAGTCATCATTAGCTAGAAACTTCCCTATCTCATATCACAACAGCAGAAATCCTCATGCTTGAGATAGGAGATAATACAAAATCATCTTCAGGTTTGCTACGAAAATCCTTATTTGCCCAACTCATCTTTGCGTTGTGACATTAATTATAGTCAGTCTTTTATTACTGGAAATAAGATCAGTTCTGCGAAAAACAAAATAGTGGATCTGATTCCAAGAATGAAAAGCTATACTTATATGCAACATAATATTCCTGTTTCAAGAATTTTTGGAATCTCTCAGAAGCTTCTTACTTGACATTGAAGCAGGAAGAATGGCCTGTCCCACAATGCCTTGCTGCAGGAGATTCTGTTCAAACTGGCCAGTCAGGACAGGGTTGTTGGAGATGAAGACGCTGGGGTCGCCAGAGGGTGTCTGGAGCAGGCTGACCAGGGGCAGGGGCTCGGACTGCTGCCTCTCAGCAGGCTTTTTGTTCTTCTTGGCATCAGAGGAAGACTTGAAGTGGCACTGGATGTGGGTTTTTCGGTGACCAGAGGTTCGGAAGCGCAGTTCACAGAAAGGGCACTTGAAAGGCTTGGATCCTGTGTGAAGCCGCATGTGGACTTTCAGACTGCCTTTTGTGGAAAAGGATGTGTTGCACATGTGGCAGTTAAAAAGCTTCTGACCTGCATCCAATAAAAAACAAGGCCATTAACACCAAAAACAATGGGAGATTAAAAAACGTAATCATTCTATAAAGAACAATTGATGTTTTTTGAATAAATAATGGCTATCCCCATTATATGTCCAAGCCCATCATCTTATCAGGCCAGAGCATACTGTATATTGTATATTGGTTTCTGCAGTATTAAGCAGACTAGAGCTTCCCCCCTGGATGGGACAGCAGTCCATGGCAGGGATTACTCCACAGTGCTGATCCCCACATACACAGCTGGGTAGACTGGAGCAATTACTTGTCCCTCAAGGTACAACAACAGTGTCCGTAGTGAGGACTCGAATCTGCTACCCATCAGTTTTGAAAACCTCTACACTATGCTGCCCCCATCCTCTGGTACAATCACTGAAATTTAAATAACCTACTAGTATTCACCTGTTCAAACCACAAACTGAAATATAATCCCAGGGGCCAAACAGAAGAGCCATCATGGGCTTCACAGAACTCATTAAAATCTCACAGGTATCCAACCAGCCCCAAGCATTCACACAAATAATCCTCGTCAGTTCATTTTAAGTGTATTTATATTTAAGTTTTTTTAAAAAGACATGGATTTAGAGAAACCTAAAATGACTACATGAGCCATAGTGTAACAGTGGCTTATTATCTGTTACTAAAAATGTCAATTTCCCAGTTCCAAATATGTTTGTGACAGTATATGGCAATACTGTGGAACAAGGAACTATTTATAAGGCTTTTCAATCCGTACCATCTGTATTAATAATCTTATTAATTAAACTCAAATACAGTAAATGCCAAGTTCTTTCAAGCCCTTGATAAAATGTGACTGAAAGCTGGTTTTAGCAAGAAAAAATTCAAATATACTGTATAATCAGCATTGGTTGCCTAGACAAACCAAAAAATGTGCACTTAGTAATAGTACGTGTTTTTAAGGAATGTATGTCATAAAACAAAATCTGTCCAAAATCTAACAAAACATTTGGTGAGAAAACTAAAGAAAGCCATTCACAAGTGCAGGACTTGTTATTTGAAGGAGGTAGGAAGGTTCTGAATACCATATATATCATATACCTATCTAGAAAATACACTTTCATTTGGACAGATTTGCAATTGTTTTATTTAAAACTGACAGTCGTTTTCAATTTTTCATGCTCTTTTAGTTATTCATGCAAGAAATACAGAACTGCTTTTGTTTTACCATATTTCCATTACTTTGTATCAAGGCCATGAAGAAATTTGAAGCAATTTATTTAATTAAAAGACGTTCTTAATCTAATATCCAAAGGCAATTATTTAGATTGGAATTAGTGTCACATGCAGCTCAAGGAATTTTAAAAAATGCGAACAGAAACAAAGAAAACATTCTTTGCAAAATACTTAACATTAAGGAAAAGAGAGAAAGTAAAAAAAAAGAGAAGTACTTAAAACTTAAAAGAGAAGTAACTAATTCTGTTCACCTCTTCAAATGGCTGCTGAAGGAGTTTTGCTCCAAAAACAAAAGATCAGTGGATCCAAGGTAATATTGTAAGAGTCATTTAAATAATCACATGAAATTTAGTTTCTTTCCTACGCAGCAAATACGATGTCTGAGTCCCTCTAAGTGAGAGCATTCCCTGTTGAGAATATGCCTGGCGCCTGACTAGAGTCAGAGCAGCTGTAGAGATGTCACGGGACTTTGTCCAGAGATGTTGGAAAAATACCCTACAGTAGGATACATGTATATCTGTATAATGATGCTCATTTTAAACTGTATAAAGATGTAATGGTAAGCATTTCTGCAATTTTACTTATTTAATGAGTGGAAGCCTAAGGTATTGAAAGGTGTCACATTCATAAACTAACAAATTGTGAAAACCTTAAGCATAAAGCATCACAAGATTGTTTTTAAAATTCAGTGTGCAGAATTATTTGTCCTGGCTCAATAACATTCCTCTAATATAACAAAAGAAAGTCACCCAAACAAAGCCGATAACTTTTCTCTCAGAACAATCCAGAATTGTTCAATTACAGCCATTTAACCATCAAGACACTGAAAAATCCTAACATGGAAGTGTATGAAATGGCTTCATGTGTTGTGGCCAAGAAGGAGAAGGGATGTCTCGAGGGAGAGACGTGCTCACTGACCTGTGTGCGTCTTGACGTGACAGTCCAGAGTGGATTTCACTGTGAACCGCTTCCCACACTCGTCACACTTGTACGGCTTCTCTCCGGTGTGGATGCGGACATGTCTGTGAGGAAAGCAAGAAGTCACAGTGCTGTTCAGCGAGGTTCTGAAATGAGTTTTAAGTTGTAACAAAAAGGCTATTTTCTGGGAGTAAACAGGAAGACACAAAAACGCATGTTCCTTTTATGCTCTGCATTCATTTTCAAGGGATTCTTTATTATCTGAATGCAACCCAGGTCAATTTCATGTTACTGTAAATGGAAGTGTTTAGCAGAGAGACTCTAGCATATTTTCACAGAATCCACATAAAGACTGCTGTACATAGTACAATGGTATTTTTCACAACACTTGCCTTCCAGTTCCTCTGAAATGTCATGTATTCTCTCTGCAAACAAAACACAATAGGTGTCTATCCATCTTATGTGGCACATACAGAAAGCACAAATCAAATCCTACACGCCTGAGAGACAGGAAAGTCAGGAAGAAAACATGTTATACAGCCGCCTTCGAGAAACACCATGGGACTGGTTCCTTTGTGGATCCTTTCATGAAGGCTACAGAGTTAGCACTAATGCTGACAGATAAAAAAAGAAAAGGCCTCCCGGGCACACAAATGGAAAAGTAACCAGATCAATAAAAGGGAAGAAGAACCCTGCTCCCAAAAATAACCCTTGTTTTTTTTATGTATTCTATTTGTCCTCTGTATTTCTTTCAGTCCACGTAGGTCCACGGGAGACATTTCAGAGCAGGAGCTGACTGGCCTTGCAGACCTGGCTTTGGAAAGTACAAAGTAGAATTAAGTGCCCAGCTGCAGACAACTTGAAACACAGCCCAGACAGATCTCAGTGGATGGCCATCATTCGTTATATAGCTGTTAATAAACGGAAATCCTGTGAGGTCTTCTACCTTCAGCGCTGCCTCTATAAAGAAAATGAGGCACACTGCATACCACAGCAATGGGATTCTGTATGAAAAGTCAGAAAGAGTTTAGAAACTACTGTAAGAATCTGGAAAAATCTATAATTCAAGGTACTTCTTGGTCTACTTTTACGACCAAATTCATAACACATCTCCAAGTGCTCATTCTTTGCTACCATTTTAAAGATAAAGGAATTTTAATTACTTGATTCATTCATTCAGCTTCACAGGTTTCTGTTTCAATAGAGCATGTAAATATGCTCTACTGGTGCAGGTCAGACAGAAGAAGACACAGTTCTAGAGCTAGAACCTACACAATGAGTTAGAAAATAAACCACTCTCAGAAATGTTTAGTCTTTCAAAACTAGACAGAATTCACCCAAAAAGCAACATTTCTTTTTGTTTTGTTTTAAAAAAAAGCTGAAATATTAAATGCGTTTGCTGGCTTCTTAGCCAAATTCCACTGTGGTGACCATAAATACCATAAAGACAATAGATCCCTGGTGCAGGATCTATGAGCTTTACACATAGAAGAGGACCAACATCAACCACCTGGGATTTACATCACTTATTATGCATCAGTAGCCCCACTAGACAGTAGTTTAGGTAGAGAACTAAAACACTGCTTCACCAACTGAACTAAATGCACTACTCTTTCAAAATGCACTAGGATCTTAATAGCCTAGTAGCACCAGGAGCTTGGTGCAACAGCCTGCTGATGATGCAGCACGCCTGCACCTTACCACCCAACTGGTGGGAGAAGTGAGGCCCCTCGTCTGTTAATAATAATAATAATAATATGTTACTTTGCCGTCAGTACTGTACAGTGATGTTAACACACAAAATGGACTAAATTGCCTGCTGCCCTCAATTAATACGGACATCTACAAGGTTTAATGGCATATTTGCTCTTACTATCAAGACAGTAATGGTAGTTAGAGTATTTTTATGAACCTTAAGATTAGAATGGTAGTGATTTTTACACAAATCCCTAAAAGACATCTTATGTGCACACTACAGAAATTGTGTCTGAACATGATGTGCTAGAAAATGAGATTATAACAGTATGTAGTAACACATGCATTTTGACTAATACAAATGACACCCACTGTCAGGTGAAAAAGAAAAGCAAATACAAAGAAAAGAAAATGCTAACATAGGGATGAAATAGGAATTATCCTAAGCAATTGTAACAAGGTTTCTAGTATGTTATGTAGGCACAATTCCTTCAAAACATCAAGAATTAGCCTTCCTCGGAGTCGCCAATTACATAAAGCAATCTGGATGATTTAATTAAGACAACTGCTCAATAAACCTATTTACACCAGATGATCTGACAGATTCTAAAGGTCATGTTTTCAGGACTGTTTGCTCTTCAAAGGGACTTGGATCAGATTGAGTTCATGAACGTTTCAGCATTGCAGGACTTCACCTTCTAAGGCTGAAATAATCTCTGAACTGTTTTAGCAAAAAACTATGTTGACCTGAATAGGAAGCACAGCAAACAGAAACACTCAGGAAGAACAGGTCTCTCATTTACTTTATGTGCAGGACATGATGTAATAACATAGGAGCAAATACAACAGACAGACAGAATAAACTACTCCTCTACAGTAGGAGTGTGGATAATTTCTGCAGTTTAAAACTTTCAGTAGTTTCGGTAGTTTAAAACTTTCAGATCTGATAATGACTGGATCAAAGACAAGTACCCATGTATGAAAGTTTTGCCTTAGCAGAGGCTGATAAAACTACAGCATCTCACTGAAATAAAAACATAAAAATATGTCCTTGGTTTTAATAAATCGTAGACTCCATAGCACGTCTCCTCATTTGCCACAATCTATTGGTTGCCATAGTATCAGAAACCATGCCATTTTAATCCCTGCTCAGCATTATTCTACTATTGTTAAAGAACATTCTGGCAATCATAAGAGTTGCTCATTTAATGTGGCTTCATTATTTTAATTGAAGTTTGCTCCTGAAATTCTGACTTCAGCACCAGCATCTGTAACGCAGTAGGTCAAAGCTCGGTAACTTCATGAATACTAATAAATCCTGGCTGTTCTTATACTGTTTGGGTTTCACTATTTGTGTATAAAAGAGGATGTGTGTTTCCATCTGTATTTTCACCCCTTGTGAGGAAAGAAGACTGCACACAGCTGTCCCGTGAAATAGGTGCAGGACTGAGTTGAGTTCTCCCTTTCATGCTGCGAGCATGAAGCACAGGATGTTTCTGTAGCAGTGACTCACCAGACCCACACACTACTGCTCCCTTTAGTGTTCTGCCCAGAAACAGTGTATGGTACGATACATATGGCCATTAGATCAGTTTTTATTTTGGAAAATGGAACAATGCAAGGGTAACACTACAGAACTAACAAACAGGTAAAACAGGATGGTGTTTACACAGAGTTCCTGTAGGTAAGAAGTTTGTTACTTTACAGTGAAGTAATAGTTCTCCTGTTTCTCAACAATGGCAAGAGCTGCATTAACAACTGTATGCCGACTCATCTGAAACCTGTTCACACAGAACCTTTGTCTGGTTCTTCCTCCAGGGAAATGCATAAAGCCACTGAAGCCTATCTGAGAGACTTTTATCATGTGTCTCTATTTCCTCAGTATTTGTAGTGTACACAAATTTACCCATGAAAGGACTCATTTTATTTTTTTAATTCTAAAAGATTTTGTAATGTATTGTAACAACCCCTCTAATACAAATGGTAAAAAATGCCTCTAATAATAAGTAATGGTACTTCTTAGCTCTGTCTTTAAGTGTTAAAAGTTGTTTTTAGAAGACAAATTTCAAAGATATTTTTCTCCAGACTCCTTCCTTCAATGTGCACAATTAAGTTGTTGAGGAATATTAATTTACCTGTCAAGTGTTAACACTTCTCTGCTGTCGGTAGATTAAAATAAAAGGAAAATCAGATGAGAACAATCCTCTAAACTCTTCAGGTAGATAGAGTTTGATTAGGGACTAACTGCTCTCAGCTTTCTCTGTTTGACACAATCATTCCACTACAATTTCACTCTTCAGGAACATCAAGGCAGTCGTGAGAAGGCGCATTGGAAACTACAATTTAAAGGCTGTATGTTTCCCATCTTTAAGCAAAATTAAATGATCAACAACAGCATGCAGGGATTTCATTCAAATTGATATTTTTGTCTGCATTTGCAAGTAATCAAAATAGTAATACTTGAAATCTTACTGTGAACACAACTCATGGGACGTGCTTGGCGAATCTTGATTCTTACTGACAATGTAATTAACATCTAAGAGATCATGGTTTTCTTTTTAGAATAGTTTTTGATGCACACACAAAGAAAAACTAAAGTAAGCACATACTGTGTCTTTCATAATTTACATTGATCGTATATCAACAATGTTATTTTTGTTTTTTTCCATGGCTGCATTCTCCTGATGTCCATGCAAAACAGGCATTGTTCTTCAAATATTTTTTCTGAGGCAGAAACCACAGGCTAATGATTTCACAGACTTAGCTACTGCAAATTGTATACCATTTCTTCTGTTGAATCATCAAGTCTGAATGAATACATCTGCAATCACAGCTTTTCAGAGTGTAAATCATGATTCTCAATAGCTTTTTTATTCCAAAAAACTGTGGAAAAACATTTGGAAGTAAGAAGTGATAGTTATATATACATACATACTGTATATGAATCCTTTATTTAACTAGGTTAGTAAATATTCTAACATATTCTCACATTCATTGACCAGAAGACCTCATTTACACAGCAGGGAATTTAGTGAGCCAATTTGAGTGAAGTACTATGCTCTGTAGTATCCCTGTTGAGATTTAAGCCCACAACCTCACAACTTTTTGAAGAACAATGAAGGTTTTATTTTAATTACTACTATTTTACTGACAGTTGGAGTAGGATTCCATATTTTCAGTTTTAATTTGTTTCATGAGTGATTTGGCAATCATATTTTGCAGATGTACTGTACATTGAACATAGAACTGTTGGCTGTACTGTGTAACATCAAAAAACAGAAATTATATTTTCAATTTCTAAAGCACATTTTCTGGTTTGGGAAGAAAAGAATATGAGCAGCTATTTTGGCAAGACAGTCCAGTCCAGTCACTTCCTTTCTGGTTATTCTGGTAAGGGATTTAATGTAAATGAAAAGACACATTGCACCCTTCTGCATTTATGAATATTATATGCAATCTCAAAGGTCAATTTAATATTCAACTGAGCAATATGTATAAAACCAAATACTGTATGCTTTTCAGTCACAGCAGGAAACGGGTATCTAATCAATTTCTGTTCTAACATGATTCGTTTCTGCCTTGGCTGCTGATCATAGCTACACACTAGGTAAATTAAACTACTTGAGAACCTTTTTACTCCTGTCATGTTATGGTTCTAACAGAGGAAAACAACAGCCCGTCAAACCAAAAAAATGTTAAGCACAAGCGAGAAGCTGAGGAAGCACACAAATGCCTAATTGCTTATTAAATCATGTTCTACTCTATCTTTAGCAAAATGAACAAGATGAGTGTCTTTCAATGATGTTTTCCTGTTATTGCAGCCCCTGCTTAGAATGACAGTGTGGCAGAGCACTTCATATATCTCAAGGAGCATCATTAAATGTACACTGAATTCTGAGAGCTCTTTGCACCAAACAAAACACTTTTCCAATGTATAGGAAATACAATATTTTTTTTAGAAAAGAGAGAAGGTTTGATTATTTACCAGATGAAAAAGGACATTTTAGTCTGGTCTAAGAAATGACAGAAATAGCACCACAAGTGCTACAGACATGGCCAAATTCATTTTAATGTTTGTTCTTGAAAAATACTTCAAGCTCCAAAATGGAAAATGAGCAGATTTATACAACGGGCAAAGAAGAGGAGACATGCTGAGGAGTACAAATACTCTTTTGCACACAGAGCTGTAGGGTTATGTCTCTATCTACAATGCCAAGCTGTTGGACTCTCCAAGAAGCAGCAGCAGAACAGGGTTTTGGGGCTGACTGGCTACTAGCAATCAAACGCACAATATGAGCCAAACAACCTCATTTTAACCGTTCTTTTAGTCTTAACAAAAATGTAAACAATTTCTTGCTCAATATTCCAGCATCCAGTATAGACAGGTAGTATAAGGGCTCAGTCAGATTCCTCTGATATTCATCCCATACAAGCACACATTTGCACAGCAAATGTAAGCATGTCCTTTCAAGCTCAGGGTGATGTTAAATGTTAAATACTGTATGTCTAAATTGAATTATTTCTTTATCAGTGTCTTACTTTTAATTTCTTCTTGTCATCAGTTCTCATTAGAAGAGATTTTTCTTCCAGAAAGATTCAGACCTTGACCTCAGTCCTTCAGCACAGTAATAACACATTTTAAATTTAAATATTAAACACCCTAGTTTTAAAATTAGGATTGGCAGTTGTTGATCCTGGGCAGCAACGTGCAGCAGTGGTCAGGCTTCTGGACATGTATTTAGAAGGTTGTGGGTTCCCGTGATATACTGCTGTTGTACCCTTGAGCAAGGTACCTCAATGCCCAGTTGAATAAATTAGCCAAACACAAGTTTATCTGGATAAAACAGTCATCAAACAAATCTTACTCACCCCTACAGCCCTGGGAAGGAAGAAAGCAACACATATACCCACCAACACAGAACAGTGAAAACCATTCAAGCCAACAACATCATCTTCTAACAAATCTCAATCGAATTTCACTCTAGCAAGGATGTAGTGCCAGGCAAAGTGTCCCAAATTTACAAGTGCACGACTGTGTATAAGGAATCATCAACACATAGCGAGCGCTAGATGTCTGCCTTCTTCACTTTGGCCAGCCCTTGCCCAACAATACGCCTTATCCCCAGGTACCAGACAGGCCACACCTGAGCTGCACAGTAATAAGCGTGGGTCAGGTCCCTGAACTGTCGTATCAGATATCATTAATTGTTAATTGTGTGTAATTGTAATGAAGGGGGAGACAGAGCAAAATGAAAGTTTTGAATACCTGACCAGGTCACTGGGCTTCTTGAAACTCTTGGGGCAGTAGGTGCAGCGGTTGGCGTACTTGGGCTCTGTCTCCAGCTCTACCGTCTTGTCTTTGATCTCGCTGATGCGGTCCCTCTCTGCGGCAGACTGGGCAAGCACCTTCTCTGACACCGTGGCGTCTTCCCGCGGCTCGGCCTTGGCGAGCTCCGCGGTCTGCTCCTCGGTGAAAGTGATGATTCCCGTCCGGTTCCTCTTCAGCACGACCCTCTCTGCATTTTCCTCTTCCTCCGCACCCAAAACTGTGAAAAGCCGAAGACTGAAACGTGGCTATAAATTCTATCCATCAGGAACTCAATCTAAAATAGATGGCTGTCCAAACCAGGAGAAGAAATTCGAAAGTTAAGAATGAATACTGATTTGTCCATATTGAAAAGGCTTTCTTTAGTAATTGTAAAAGGTTCATACTGAAGCATGACCAAAAGGCTTGCTTCTCATTAAGATTTGTTTCCACATCAGATGCCTGGAGATGTTTTCTGATCATTCCATTCCTGCTGGGTGCACATTCCAAGGCAAAGCATTTAATTTGTATTGAGAGTGAAATATTGCTTGCTTGTTTTCATTTTCCACATCAAAAGGAATTAATTTCTTTTGAATAGCAGAACAGTAGAATTTTACAAAATCAGTGGCGCAGTTACCCTCAGAATTGTTTCTTCTTTTCTTTGGTCTTCCTAATTAACATACAGATACCAGTATTCCTGTAAATAACTAAGCAAAATGGTAAATTAATGGAAAATTAATTTATCATTTAGATACTAGCTAGGCAAAATATGCATATGGCTTTTATTTAGCTGTTCAGCACCAAGCTAATGAATCATAATTTATCCAATCTTTCTTTTGTTAAGGTTATCAGTGATGCAACCCAGGTAATTACATTATCCTTCTTTATAATGTTAGAATTATCTAGAAGGAATCTCATAACATATTACTCATGAGCTTACAAACAGTTTAAATTATTATGTACCCCAACCTTACGTTATGGTTTGAGATTTAATCAGCATTAAGGTTTAATAATTCTATCAGTGTATTAATACATTACTAATACACTTTTACACCCCCTAATATAATGTGTTTTATTATTCGAGTCATTGTTTTGCACCTTATTAACAGACTGTGAGATACCTAACTGAAAATTAAAAATGCAACACCTGATTTCCATTCCCTTTAAAACTGGCCCGTTTTAGTAGCCATTAATGGATGATCCTGGAAATAGAGAGACCCCCTCAGTCAGTCTGTGTGTACTGTATGTGGAGGGGTAACAAAGCATTACCTCTGGGTCCTGCGATATGATCTTTCTTCATGTGTTTCCTGCAGAGCAGGGTTGTCCGAAAGGTCTCGTCACACATGGGGCACTTGAAGGGCTTCATATTCATGTGTATTATCATGTGTCTGTTAAGGCTGCCATTGGTGGTGAACGAGGCATCACAAACATTGCATTTGAAGGCCTTGACACCTGAAAGGGGGAAAAGCACGCAGACAAGAGTCATTGCGCTCAAGAAGCCATCAGAACAAGTCAAGTTGAAGGCAGAAATCTAAACAACACATTTGCGTTTAGCCTTAAATGGCACTGAGCTGAATGTATTTTGGATTATATAGACCTTCTTGGATCAAATAGCGTTTTTTGTTTTCATATCCTGGTACATAAGCAATTAACCTCTCTTGAACCTGATCTGCAGGCAGAAGAGGGAGACACAGGGGGCTGTTTTTGGGAGTAAGGTTGGATGATCTCAGGGTATTTTGTCCTGACTTACATCAAGCAAAACACAGAGGGCACAGACATACCTGAAAGTCACTCAAAGCCTGAAAGCTGAGCTGAAACTGGGCTGTTCAGAGCTACATTAGCTGTGAGCCTGCTCTTTCCTCTATCAGTTCCCTAGGAGCTGTAATGTGACTCAACTTCTTCTATCAGTGTCCTCTGTAATTATTCCTTTACACTATTTACTGCGTACTAATCTTTGAGCCAGAGGGTCAGATATATTTGTGAAAGGGAGGGCTGTGTAATGTACGGTTTTACTCTTCTAGTAACTAGTATTTAAGTATCCTAATATCACATTTGTTTTTATTATTATCACCTCTGTCTTTATGTTTCTCTTATTTGTGGATGTGCCATTATACAGCATAGAGATTCAGACAGCGAGAAAGCTTGTCTGTAAGTCTATGCAAAGCACTGTAGTGCCCCCTAGGTTTCTTTTTGTACATGACAGCTTTGAGAAGAGCCAAAACTGTGGATTATGCTTTTCTTTGTTACTGTTTTACTAAAGGTTCAAGTATTGTCAAACTTGGCTCTGAAGCCTAGTTATTTAAGTCCTATTTTTTGTCACTTTTATATACCTTTTATGCAACCTTTAATAGTCGCTTAAAGAAGGCTAAACAGCCAAAATGTTGTCTTTCTTCTTAGTTTTAAGCACGGAATTAACCTTTACTTGTTCCAAAATAAGCTCATGATACAGGAATGGCTCAGAACCTCTGCTTTTATTGGCTACTGCACTGTTTTCATGCCAGAACCTCGTCTCGATCTCCAAGAAACTAAAGGTTACTCAATCATGTTATTGTGAAGAAACACAAACTGAACATGCCTATTCCAAAGGTACTCCTCAAAGTCTGGCACAGTCAAGAAATGAACACAAAGCTTTAATGTATTAGCTATGAGTCTTACCTGTGTGTGTGTTTAAATGAGACTTGAGAACTCCAGCTGAGACAAAGCTTCGACCACATAGGTGACACCTAAAGGGCTTTTCTCCAGTGTGAGAGCGGACGTGCTGCTTCAGGTGGCTGGACTTCTTGAAGCCCTTGTTACACATTGAGCACCTGAAGAAATACACTATTCATTAGTAAGGCCTGGACTCCATTCTAATACCTTACATCTCTGATTGAGGAACCTCCCCAGGTTTAAGAAAATAGACCTCAAATCTATCAATTTGATATGAGAGCTCCCAAATCACTGGACTATAATAAAGACCAGGAACACCCGATAGTGCATAAAACAGACAAGTAGCCTTCCATTTGCACACATCACATATAACATCTATGGTCCTTCCTGTTTGACCTATGGGATGTACACAGGAGAATCTGTGTATAAAATTGCACTTTTCCAATGTCAGCTTTCAATGTTACAACATCATGTCAGCATGAATCATCTACATACAGGAAAGTGAAATATGTGTCTTTGCATCCGCTGCAGTTTTAGGTAAAGTCTGACTTTCCAGCATCAGAGACTTAGAACCATCACTTCTAATCATGTGCTCATCAAGCAGTTAGTTATATACATTACCCTTCTGAACAGGGGACACTACCTCATGAATTATCTTGTTTTATGAAATACATGTCTTTGTTTTACAAAGAAAAACATTATCTAGTAAAATATGGTGAGTTCATTCAGAAATTCAAAACCCATCGGCCTTTTACAATCATTTAAATGTACTTAATTAAATCCAAGGAATAGTTGCAGACTTGTATTTAAAGAACCCCTATAAAAAAAGCATAAATAAAAGCCTAGGAGTATCTACAAACCACCTATGAGAAAACAGTTCTAGTGAAGTATATTTGAAAAACCGTAGAATGAAGTGCTATTGTTGCCTTAGTTGCCTTAGTTTCAGACATTAAGTTTACTGAAATAACTTATGGTGCTGTCTATCTGCATCACAGCTTCAACATAATTGATGTGGGCTGCACATCGTTCCAAACAATTATGCCTCCCACTGCTGTTCTATTTATGTGGCCTATTAAGAATGCTCAATATGTTCATATCCTGTGGCTGTATGCATGATCCATCATGCTAAATCATTCTGGATTTAGATGTGAATATTCTTTTTGAAGGCTTCTTGCTATAGGCTTTGTGCCCACAAGGATAACTTCAAGTGCAGCATTCCCTAGTTACTGAGGTATGCATTGTGGACTTCACTCTTTGATAAGAAACAATAATCAGTTAACCTGGGAATGCACATATTCAAAAAGAACAAATGTATGATTCTGGGAAAAGTACAGAGCCATATTTGCTCTTTCTCTTCTGGCAGTAATACCTGTTTACCTCTGCTTTTAACTAAACAGGCACTGCTTGCAGCAGTGTGCAGGGTGAATTTTCTTTGTTTCAACAGGACAGACACACCAAAGACTCAGCACTAAGTAGTTCTCTCTGATGAACATTGAGGACTTTGGCATGTACAAAATGCAGACTTCACAAACCTAAAGCATAACGATCAAAATTGTGGACCCATGTCAAACAATTAAATACCGTCACGTCTCTCAAGCAGAAAAACTGAGGATCATAAATCACCGTCAAAGATTTAACAAGCTGTTGCATATCACTCATGCACTGTTGTAGCCTGTAATTGTTTGTGTGTGTGTTGCATGAAATCCAAGATATGGCAAAAAGATGGAGAGGAGCTGAATTATTAGCAACCATCTCCTTATGGGGGTCTGCTTTTAACATCCTTGGATTCCATGACTCATCCCCATGCCACCAGCCATATCACTCTGCAACTCACAACTGGCAACCCACTGAAGCTAAGCAGGTGTGAGCCTGGTCAGTACCTGGGTGTGAGACCTCCTGGGAAAAACTAAGGTTGCTGCTGAAAGAGGTGTTAGTGGGGCCAGCAGGGGGCGCTCACCCTGCAGTCCATGTGGGTCCTAATACCCCAGTATAGTGACGGGGACACTATACTGTAAACAGGCGCCGCCCTTTTACATGAGATGTAAAACCGAGGTGCTGACTGTGGTCATTAAAAATCCCAGGGCGTTTCTCGAAAAGAGTAGGGGTGTAACCCCGACGTCCTGTTAAATTTCCCATTGGCCCAATCATGGCCTCCTAATAATCCCCACCTATGAATTGGCTTCATTACTCTCCTCTCCTCCCCACTGAGAGCTGATGTGTGGTGAGCGTTCTGGCGCACTAAGGGTGCTGTCACATTATCCAGGTGGGGCTGCACATTGGTGGTGGTGGAGCGGAGTCCCCATTACCTGTAAAGCACTTTGAGTGGGGTGTCCAGAAAAGTGCTACTGTATATAAGTGTAAGCTATTATTATTAATTATTATTATCCTGCCCCTACGTGCATAATTGTATTCTTTAAGAGCTAGCTAATTGCCCACATACCTCATCTAGGAGAGAGCATAGCGTGTAGCAATGGCTCTCCTAACAAAAGGAAGAACGGCACCAAACCTGCACAAACCATGAGCAAGGTCTGACTGTTCTTCACTCTGTGCCAGATTGGCCACTCAGTACTGCAGAAAAGAATTACACTTTCAATCTTGTCAGCTCTAAAGCAATGAAGAACTGCTGCTTGCTTTAAAGGCATCACACTGTGTAATTTCTGGCAAGCAGAGGCCTTTGGAACCTATTGCCACCGTCTAATGAAAAGATACTTTTTTCATGCAGGTAGCTGGGTAGCCTAAAAGTGCATGTAAGCAGCCCCAGAGAAGCCCATCAGCCCTAATTTATGCTGCGTAATCGCAAAATCAGGTTATTGTCAAAAGATGAATTCCTCAGCCGGTACTGGGGGTCACACACACTGACCTGTACGCCCTCTTGTGGCTGTCATCACTTTCCTCCTGGAAGTCTGGCCTCTGTGGCTGCAGCTGAAGGTCATTCTGAGGCGGCTCCTGAAGTAGACGACTTGTCTGGGAAAGAAATGTCAGTATTAACTGGTTTTACTTAACTTGACGAGGCATGTTTTAAATGATTATACATTTTATCTTTTAGGATGGTATTACTGTCTTAAGGACTAGGTATTGTAGATTCCTAGCACGTTTACATTCAGAAAATGTATGATAATGACGTGTAAAACCAAGCACATAAAACCAAAGTTTCCTGTTGTGGTGGTCTCTGGGGCTGCTGTCTGACCAATTGCAGTTAGATGACAGAGACACACCCTTCTGCTAAACCTGATGTGCTGGACGGACCAGCAGGTGTTAAGACCCCAGATACTGTACTGTTCGGATGCCACTGGTGTACGATGGATAGCAACCTCCAGCACAAGCTATATATGACACTCTGTTTTAACCAAGACACTTACTTTTCAAAGGTGAGTTTCCATTTGAAAGCCCCATGTAGGAAAGCGCCATGTGGGAAGTGATGAGATAGAGGCATACTCACAGGGCCCTTCCCTGTCACCCTTTTTTCAGACTGACTTACCACCTCAGCACCGGAGACCTGCAGCAGGTTCTGCTGGTGGTAACTGGAGGACAGTGCCTGAGACTCCAGCGTGCTGGAATCCTGAAGCTGCTGAACCGCGGAGAAAGGTGGCTGCTGGGTGAACCCGTCCGCTATGGTAAAACCTAAAACGCGATACATTTGTTAAACATCCATTCTCTCTGATAGGGAATAACTGACTAAGAACTCTGTAAAGAAGAAGGATTAAGCACCATCGTTAAAACACTGACTGCTCAGTCACCTTCTTTAGTCGGCCTCACTCAATGACAGATGCTTTTGTGCCAGAAAGTTCCTGTTTGGATTCTCAGAATAAAGACAAGGATATTTTGCTGCACCAGTATTTTTAGCAAGGATGATAAGTTTGAAGAGTTTCAAAAGAAGTTGAAGAAATGCTCTTTTACTTTCCTTTCGGTTTGTGTTTGCAATGGCCACTTAAATTGATTGTTGTTTTGTTTTTATTTTTATGAATAACAAAGCTTTGACAATGACTCTGAAGTGGGGACCAGCTTCACTTAAAAGTAAAAGATGCAAAGGAGAAAGGCCTCACAAACTGCCATAGAGGAGTGTTTGTGGCAATAGTAAAAATAATTCTTTCCACAAGTCAAGGGGAAGCTTAGCAAAATAATTTGATCTTTAAAAAGGTGAAGATGCTGAGGTACTTGTCCAATTAAAGTAGATACATTCGGCATTTTCCTTTGTACAACAAATTTATACAGCTTTCAAAAGTTTCAGAATATGTCTTTTTTAGAGATTTTGTGAAAGAACAGGCATGACTTATTTTTAATTTTCATAGTTACTTATAACCTCCATTCCCAAAGTGCTTGCATCTCTGGGATTCTACTATACGTATCGTAGACATTTTTGAGACCTGGCAATTAGTAAATATGTTTTAAAAAAGACATTTAAAAATACAATGAGAAGCATCTTGCATTGTATGACACCTGCAACACCTGCTGCATGTTACAGATCTTGTTGATGACTGATGGATATAAATCAATTCATCTGATGGTGCAAAGCCTTATCAGTGTCTTGTCTACTCTGACAAGGCCTCCAGCTCTGTCTGTGATGGTGCAGTTGCAAATCATTTTATTTTCCACCTTTGTATTTTTAACACATCAGACCTTTTTAATACAATGCAGTACAAAAATGTTATTGAACACAAGAATAATTTAAACTGCTATTAGATAATGTTACAACCTCTTTGTTATTTAATAAGGGAAAATTCTCCATTGTTATCCAATACTAGAACAATGTCATTTGTTTGTTAAATACTACAATAAGCTTTTTAATTTAATACTATTAATCATCCCCATCAGCAATGCCAAGTGCATTCCCAAAATGGCTTCTTTTGCAAGCTATCACCACAGATCTGAGACAAAATCTGTATATCAAACCTCATATAAATATTGATCATTCAAAACCCAGGCTCCAAAGGTGACCTAGCTCACATAATCTCAGAATCTGAAGCCAATAAACTTTAGTTTCATGTTATTTTTTTATGGGGGGGATGAGCGCATCTTGAATTGAATCTGTATTTCAAACCTCATATAAATATTGATCATTCAAAACCCAGGCTCCGAAGGTGACCTAGCACACATAATCTCAGAATCTGAAGCTAATAAACTTTAGTTTTGTGTTATTTTTTTATGGGGGAATGAGCTCTAAACATTTTAATGTAAAAAAGAGTAAAACTTTTTTTTTTACTCCTTTTTGCATTGGAAAATTCTAGATGTTTAACTTTTTCACAAGGTGTACAAACATATGGCAGAAACAATTCAGTTTGGTCTTTTTACAATGTGAAAAAGAAGAGAAATTTCCTTTTTTTGCATTTAGTAGCTGCTTCCTTATGATAACACATATCATAGACTAAGACACCCCCTGGAAAAATCAATAAAGGAAATCAGAAGACAGAAGACAAATCCAGGCATTGATTAATATTGCTTACTCATCTCTAAAGATATTCAGTAGGTACACAGCATTAATCTTTCTGGTTTACCACAGCTCTCACACAGAGCCTGGCCTGGTTTTGCTTCTGATGTATGATTCCTGATAAACATTAGCCTCTCTACAGCAAACACAAAAAATGACAGAAAGTCAAATAATCCTATAACTCATTTTAACAGATGAATCCACAATTGAACGTGGATTTTGATTTATTTCCCCTTGTTTGTGGTGTTTGAGAAGAAAGAAGGGTGAGACTGTCAAACCAGACCTTCTTCACTTTGAAGAACCCATGAAAAAGGTTTAAAAACTGTGGACATCAATCATCTCTTAGTGGTGGATCTCCTGCTTCTTTGAAAGAAATAAACTACACTGCACTATTGTTAAGTGTTACGAAGTCCTTTTAGAATGTTTTCCTCTGAAGAGCAAAAAAGAAATTCAGCTAAACTTCTAACATTCAATTAAAGGAAACACTCCATTAATGAGGAAAATTACCATTTGAATATGCTGATATACAATACAGTGACTTTATCCTATGGGTACAATGCAAACATGTCATACAAAAGGATTTTAGGAGACTAGGATATTCCACATAAATATTAATTATCATGATGTGTGAGCACTGAGCCTGCAACTGATTATAAGAACCAGCAAGAATGTAATTAAATTAGCAATTGAATAAAATACTAATAGGATGCCTGCCTTGTGCATTCTATCTAGCTTTTCTTTAAAGCAATTCATTGCATCTAAATGGGAAAGTGGACCTGCATTCAAAATGTTCTGCACATCTGAACCAAAGTACAGTAAAGGCACATTGTATCACAGAAAACAAGGATGCTGGTTAGGAGTCAGACGCTAGCAGGAGGTGGGGTTATTAAAATTTTTGCTGCAGTGCAGAAAAAAAGCCATTACAAATAAAAAAAAAATAAGGCTGGTATAAATTGTGTGAGTTAAGAAGAAACAGGCAGTCTTGATCTCTGTTTGTGCTTAACCATGACAAATACTCCGACTACATGACCTCTGGAGTTCCAAACAGAAGCGATAAAGGATTCTTTTTTTTAAATAGCAATTAATCTCCTGAAAAAACATTTACACAACCACACACCAGCAATAGACACAGTGGAAAAACGGAACTGAGGCTCAAGGTCTGAGGGGCTGGTTTCATACAGTATAGGTGTTCCTGTCTGGGTCCTAGCCTACCCACAACTCTCCGCACCCTCATCCTTATAACTGAGAGGTATTGTCTTGTCTTCATTAGTAAAAGACAAATGGCTGGCAGACACTGATAAACAATGCTCTGTGAACATTCGAAAAGCATTCTGCTGTGTGCATTTTCTTTTTTTGTCTGCCAAAGTATTCCAATAAAACTGTTTTGAAAAGGAATTACTTGGGCTTTGTGTATGTTTCTGTGCACTTGACATCAATGTAACTCCAGAATAAATGAGGTAAGGACAAATTAGCTGATATATTCATATTCTCATTCACAGAAATGTCCAGGAGAGTGAAAACCTGAAATCTGGGGAGGCACCCATGGCCAGAATCGTTGACAAATTTGAATATGGTGCCTTGCAGATTTTGCTGACATGTTCTGTAACTTCATACACTTTTAAAAGTATTCCCTTTGATTTATAAAAAATATATATTCATTTTAAAAATGTGCTTTATGTCATTTATAAATTAATTAATTGGGATAGAGAGGGTAAAAAGTAATTTGCTATATATTTTACTGAAAACAGTTGTAAGAGAGGTTGTAAGGAGCCATAACAAACATGTCAAGATGTGTGACAGTACAAATATGCCAAGATATAAAATCTTAAGATACAATAAAGACATCCTTGAGGACTGACTTCCAAAAGCTGGTCATATGTGGTTGGACTATATCTAGGAGAAGAAATATACACACAAATGAAAATTTAAGCAAAGCCAAGTATAGTAGCTGTGCTATGCAACTGAACATGATTGTTACCTTGGGTTAGTGCCTGCTGGTCAAAGGCTTGCTGGGTTATGGCCTGCGGTTCAAACTGGCTGATATTCTGAGGTAGAGCATGCTGGGTTGTCACAAAGGTATCTACTCAATGGACGACAGAAAAAAAATGTTAACAATGTCCTATACAGAGCAACAAACACACCAATCGCTTAGTAAAAAAAACAGACATTGATTCAATTTTCATTTAATTTTTTTTTTACCACTATAATGAGTGGAAAAAACATTTACATTTGGAAAAAAACATTCAAATGTATTAATCAGTTACACCTTTATGCCCCTCCTAGCTGTCCTAGAATTTTCCCAACTAATCATACAGTATATCGCAGTACTGCAATATTTGTTCTCTGTTCATCAGCTATGGAGTTATTAAAGGAAAAATAACTGTTTCTTAGTTGTCAGAGGGCCCAAAGAAACAAACAGAGATTGTAATGTCATCCATCATAGTAAAACACTGCACATTACATTGCACTGACATTTCAATGTGTCATGTGATGTCACACCCATCACAATACCTTGCTATATGAATTAAGGAAAGATATTGCTTTTCCACCTGGGTTATCAAATGATATTGTTTCCAAATGCTTTCTGCCTATTTATTGCTCTCTAATGCAGTGTCTTCAAGAGAACTGTCACTGTCATTGTTTAATACAGCAAAGAGATACACACCAGAGTATATGTTAGCATAAAATACAGTATACAGTTTAACCTCATACTGAGGAATTGCAATATTTAATAATCACCCACTGCTTGAAGCATATTCTGACCTAATAACAGCTTATGGATTTTCTGAGCCCCCACAGTACATCAAACTGGGCTTTTGGGTCAGACACACTTGCTTTGCTTGAATTAAAAAAAAACAATATCGCATTAAACAGGATGCAAATTAGTTTTTTGCCCTGGCAGCACTTTAAAAAGATTAATGATGTAGATTATTTACTTGAAACAGTTTGGAATTTTTTGCCATCATTTTTTTGGTAATTCATGACTAACATGTTTTGACAGAACATTTCAGCAGCCTCCTTAAGCATTACAAAGAACCCACAGCAAGGCGGGTTCTGTTAGAAATCTCTACCCATTCTCTCTAAAGGCTTTGGTCATCTGTTCCAGGAAATATGCTGCTACACAGCTCTGTTTCAGGAAGAACAACTCAATATGAATAAATGAGAGAGAATATTTAAATGTACATCTGATATTATAGTTTATATGAAGAGTACATCTGACATACTGTACGTCTAAATGCTTCACTTCTGCTTTTGCAAGAAGACTCAACATGAAAATCTTCATTGTGTAGGTGATTTTCAAGTGCATGTAAACCCCCAGAGCATTGGTTAATTTTCCTTTTCTGCCTCTTTGTTTTATTAGAAGGACGATTATCACTCAAGAGACCTTTAGATGAATAATAAATTTTCAACCAAACACAATGACCTTTAATTAGCAGAAGAGAGACAGATCCTGTAGCAGGAAAAGCTTTCTCTGCATGAAACACTGAAACTCACTATTAATATCAGCATATTCCTTGACCATTTTTAGTATCAGGTAAAACAAAGCAGAAACCAACCTACAGGTATATGCAATTAACTACCTGCAAGTGAACTGTCTGAATCTACACTTCTGCACAAAAATATGATATCTTGCCAAGAGAGGTTTGTAATGTTACATCCACTTGTCCTGTCCCAGTCATGACAAGCTAGAGAAGAGACTACTGTCTTTTCCTGCACATTAATAAGCAATCACCTGCAGAAGGTATTTTGTAAACAAACTATATAAGCAATAGAACTTAATGTTTCCCTTTAGAAAATGCCACCTTAGCACTACTCTGCCTGGAAAATCTATCCATGAAATTTAGGCCAGATTCTCTTTATTTTAATTATACCACATCTTGAGGCAAACAATTAACCAGCAAACCATAGTATTAAATTCGGGGCTGCATGTAGGTCTCCCCATTTAAGCTTTTTTTATACTTCAGCTGTAGGGAGTTCAAACTGCTCAGCTCAGATATTTGTAACACAGCCAAGCAAAGAAATGTGTAATAAAACCTGACCTTCTGGTTTTACAGAACATCCAGTAAGTCCTGAAGATGATGACTGGTGAGATTCAAATTTTTCTGCACATACAGGTACAGCATTGATTCCCAACCCTGATCCTGAAGGATGGTTAGCTAAAATAAACTAAGACCCCAAGGTTTGAAACCGTTCCCATTACCAGACCCAGTATGGCTTGAAATGCTGTATCATAGGTCACATGAGATACAGCATTTCAAGCCATAAACAGACCTCCAGCTGATTAAGACATCATTCAGGTTTATAAGAACTTGAATGTGGTTATTGATTACTGACATTTAGCCAATTTGTGTTCTCTTCACAAATTCTCTCAATCAGGTGTGGAATGTAAGTAATTAGACCCCTTCAGAGCACAGAGTGTCCTTTTTCGGTGCGAGCATTTGAGACAGAACCATTCCTAACCATATCTCGGTGTCATTAATTGTACCTATTGACAGAGAGAAATAAATAAATCTTTTTATAAGCAGAAGAAATCTTTTTATGAGGAGTCAACGAAAGAAGCTCAGTTCGTGGAATTTCTCCTCAATAGCACACCTGTGAGTTTTTTAAACCAAAAACAAGCCAAAAATGTCTAATGAAGAAAGAAGCTTAATGAAAGGGATCAATAAGTTTCTATGATTAACAGCTCAGTTGGAACAAAAATCAGGAGACACAGAGATCCTCCAGCTTCAGGATTGGGAACTACTGCGAAATCCCAGTTACAAACAACCCAAATAACAGTGGCACTCTCTCAGGTTTTGAATTCTGTGCATTTATACATTAATTAAGCTCAGAAATAGAGAGAGGCTCTCTACAGATAAAAACTTCCTACATTGCTGCAAAAATACTATGTGGCTGCAGACGCATCATCTGGTGGAAATTGGGTCACAGAAAACTAATTAAAAGTACTGTGAGTGCCGGGTTCTTAATTACAATAAGGTCCAGGCTTGCTTCTAGCAATATAATTATATAATCATATGGACCATTATGTCATCATTCTTGCCCAGAACTATCCTTTGTGCTATTTCTCTAACAACAGGCCCTCAGAACCATATAATAACTGTAATAAAACTCACAAGTTTACAAACTGTTCTGCTGCAGGTTGAAATTCTTTCCACTTTATGTCTACCCTTATGAAATTCAGTTTAAACAAAAGAAACAGTCCATCACTCCTTTTCATAAATAATTAAAACTCAGAAAATTCACTCGATTTACATTTGCACAATATTTTTTTCAAATGAGCAGCAAATTTCACCTCTGAGGATTTCCAAAAAAGCTGTTTTTCTATTTATATTAGCAGATGAACAGTAGAACATCAAAGAACATTTGTACCAACATTTACAAGATATTTTATTTATCCGAATATCTTTATAGCACTCTCTTACTACTCCTTCCTTTTCTCCCTCTACAGTTAAAAGCCTGTTCAAGCCTGAATGTATGAACTGGAATATAAGAGAGCAGACATGTCTGGGAGCTTCTTAGAAGCTGTAGTGTTATTTTAATGCTCAAGGTAAAGCTTTGAAATCATTTAGTACAGATTTGTCAACACTGATCTTGCAGTTCCAGTATGTCCGCAGGTTTTCCAGATCTCTTTAAAGCAGCAGCTGAAAACTCAGAAGCTGTTAACTTGGTCAAATCAATCCAGTAACTAGCTGATTAAGCTTGCTGAGCTTGGAACTGCAGTGAAATCCCCAAGACACATCGGCTCTCTAGGTCAAATACTGGACTCCCCTGGTTTAGTGGGTATGGGTTTAAGGACCTTTTGCAAACTCTAAAACTCTAAAAACAACACTGCTTAGTATTTACTGTTTTTGTTTGCTCACTGCAAGTACCAATTCTTACTTGTTATTGCAAGTGCTGTCATTATCTTGAGAGTCTTGCATTATGCACAGTCAAAATACTCATAATACTTCACAAAAAATACTAATGTATCAGCTTTGTTATTGCCCAATTTCTGGATGGACAAAACTCTACAGCATTCCCCACACACGCTAAGCTACCCAGCCAATGGTAAGATGCATTATACTATATGAGAACGAAGTATGATCTAATATTTTTGTTTATGTGGCCATATCCTACCCATCAAATGAACTCTTATCTTAAGGAGTCAGAAAGATACAGAAATAGTCCCTCAGGTGTCTACCTTCATCCTGCACCAGCGGTTGGTCGCTCAGCTGCTGCTCCAGCCCAGTCTGCTGGGGGCCAGCTACCTGGGGCTGGCTGAGCCCCAGCATGTTCTCCTGCTCGGAGCTCACAGCGGCGGGCTGCTGCAGCTCCTCCCCCTCGATCTCCACCTGAATCTCCGCGCTGACGGCCGGCGGGGCCATGGGGTCATCCAGAGAGGGCGGCGGCGGTGGCTGCTGTGGCTGCTGAAGCTGCTGAGCCAACTCGTACCTTAGGGCAGAGACCACAGCACATGGCCAGTCAAACGCCACGGAAACAGCCCACCACCACTTTCTCAATCCCTTAGTGCAGAGGTGTCCACTCCTGTTCCACTTTCTAGGTCTTTTTTAAAGCACCAGGACCTGAACGGCCAATAACCATGTGTAAATTCCATCCATCCATTTTCTAACTACTTCATTCAAGTAAATGTTACAGAGGAGCTGGAGCCTATCCCAGCAAGCAATGGTCACGAGATGGGATACACCCTGAATGCTGAAGCCCAATTAAACTGATAATGAGCTGTTTTAAGTCATTAAGAGCTGAGGTAGAATTTAAGTCTAGAGATAGTGTCGCTTTCCAGAACACAGGTATTATTTCATTTTCTTTTGAGTGAGATACAAAAATTTTACTCTGTGTGCTTAATGGCCAACAGTCTCTTCTAGTAGACTAGATAATGAAAGCCACCTGTAATGCTAGCCAGCAGAAGCAAGCAATTGTTAAAATGGTTAATAGAGAGATATTAAAAAAAAAACCTTAAAAGGCAGGGTAATGAAACTACAATCTCAAGCCAAGGTTATTGGCCCAGTTCCTGGAAAGATTGTCTCTCCTGCTTGTTGTTTCAGCTCTTGGATCCAGCCAACAAACACTTTAGCTTAAGGGACTGTGTGCTTAACAAGATTTCTTTAGTTGTTTTCATGTGAAGAACAAAAAACAAATTCCAGTGTCAGTGAATTAGCTGAGATCGCATTTTAAATGAAACCTGGAAACTCAAGGTTTAAAAACACTTGGTGTAAAGGAAGCTTCCAAAATAAACTGAAGTATATGTTTTTACTAAAAAGGTTATAAATCAGATCAGGCTACAGTTAGTCCTGCCTTTAGGCATTTTGGGACATGGCCAACAGTTCTGAAAAGCACTTGATTTGAGGAACATAATGCATTTTCTTTATCCTCCCTGTGCTGGAGCAAGGTTTGCAGGTGATGAACAACTGGGGTTTTTATTAATTAATTAGGAAGGTATTAAAGGTGGTTCCAATATAAAAAAAAAGAAGACAGTGATAGTGTAAAAAAAAGTGAAACAAGTGAAGAAAAACATTTAAAGTTCTTCTTCAGCTATCATAACCTATTAGATAAGTGGAGTAAGAGATGGACTTTAGATATCACTTTTACAGAGTCTTTTCACATAAATATTCAAAATGCTTTTCTAGTGAAATTAACAACTAATTGACATTATAAAGAAATATGAATGTTCTAGAGTATGCAATTCAATACCATCTCAAGAGAAATGAGCACACTGTCACTAATAAAATGTACAGGAAAACTACTAAAAATGTATTTTATGCTACCATAACCACATCGTGACAGTCACCCAAGCTCACTCAGTAACACTCTAATCCTTCCACCTATTTTCCAACTGTTTCTTCCAATTCAGGGTTGCGAAGAAGCTATCGCGGCACGCAATGGGCACAAGGCAGGGCACACCCTGGATGAGATGCCAGTCCACAGCAGGGCAGACACATACAGGTAAGCACAACAGAGTCAATTTTCCCTGAAGACAATTGACCTCCCAGTGTGTTTTTGGACCCCAGGTCTGGCATTGAACCCAGGGCCCCAGCTCTGAGAGGCGGCAATGCTAACAACTACTTCACCTTGCCGCTCACAACACTTTAAATTAATATTTAATATAAAGAAACCCAGAACCATCAATGATCTTATATTTCACATGCCATTACAGGAACCAAACCAAGACTGCCTAGCAGAGGTGTTGGGAGTACCAACCTATGAGTTTTCATATGCTTCCTGCAGTTTGGAGAGGACTTAAATGTCTTCTGGCAGTAAGGGCACATGTAGGGTCGGAGGTCACTGTGGGTCGTCATGTGGCGTCTCAGGCTGCCACTGGTGGTGAAGGTGCTGTCACAGATCAAGCACTTGTAGGCCTTCAGTCCGGAGTGTGTGCGGATGTGGGCCTTGAGAACACCAGAGGAGGCAAACCCTTTACTGCACTGCAGGCACTTGTATGGCCGTTCTCCTGTGTGCGATCTGGAACGAAACCAGAAGAAACCACAAAACGTAAGGTTTGCTGCTGGCCCTCTGTGCCACTTTAAAGATTGTAGTCTTCCCATCAGGCACCAGGACATGTTTCTTTTCACTATTGTTAACAGTTAATAACAGTGCCTTTGAGCAATGAATCAAACGTCTGCCTTTTCTTTCTGAGTTTTTTTATTGTAGCATTCATTCCCCCAAGCTGTGAAATGAGAAAGCCTTCTGTAGAAGGTCTGGTATTTTTTTTTACTCTTGTTGTACTGTTATGAAACAGAAAGAAGGAAGACAGTGCTTCATGTATCTGTAAGTGTTTGTGTCCCTGTCCTTTAGATGTACTTGTGACAACAGTTTCTTAGAAAATGGATTATTTAGGATCGGAGAGACACACCACAGTACTCTTAAAAGACTAAAATGTAATGTTTCACACATCTAGATTTAGATTTGACCTTTAAGAAATAGCACATTTTCCAATTTTGTTTGAAATGGGCATATATCCAGAGATGGGAAAGCTTAGGGTGGATGAGCATCAGGCACACATGCTGGAAGTACTTATAAGCAATCAATTACTAAAAATAGCTTCTCAGATTTATCTGTGTATCACAGCCTGAGATTCCAGACACCACTCACTCCTTTCTGACTGGCTGAGAGCAATGCACCTTGATGCAAGATCACACTGGTGTGCACAGTAAGAAGGTTCATACGACACAGCACTGTTGAATTTAATATATTGTTAAAACATGATGCACAGTGTGAACCACTGTTTTAATTTTTACATATGTAAGTATGCAGCTCAGGTGTTCCCAGTCCTCATCCTTGGGAACCACACACCTGCTGGTCTTCATTGCAGCTGACTAAACCAATTAATTGGTCTGGTTTTATTTTTCTACTCAAAGGCTGGAGATTTTAAGTTATTTATGAAATGCAATTAAAGGGCAAGCCCCTCTGACTTCCTCTGAAAACAATTAAAGAGTTCAAATGAAACTTATTATTAGGTCTATTAATGAGTGGGTTATTTAACTGAGCGCTCAGGTGGAACAAAAACCATCAGGTGTGGGGGTCCTTTAGACCAGCATTGGGAACACCTGGTGTATGTATGAGGTTGACTAATGGGAATATAACTGTTCTTGGCCTACCAAAGCCTACCTTTGGCTTCATCTCACGAAATAGAGATAGTTAGGGGAGGATTTGGTTGTTTTTTGGACTGTTGTCTCATCACATGGATGCCTTACCTGACGTGTTGTTTAAGATGGCTAGATTTCTTGTACGCTTTGCTGCAAAAGTGACACTTATAAGGCCGGTCGCTTTCAATGATGTCTAAATACTGTTGTAACGAGAGGCTATTGCGAGGGTTCTGGCTCTGTATAAGACCTATGGAGAAACAGAGAGACAGCAACTGAGAGAGCTCTTTCTTTGTCTTTTGAAACTGCAGATCAAAAACAAAAAAATAAAACAAGTGGATTTTTATGTTGTGTGTACACAGATAATAAAAAAACCCCACTAAAACACCAGCATAAAAGCTCAGTGAAAAGGAAAACAAAGCCCTTAATGAGAACTAGCTCTGACAAGAAGGTGAGCCATGACTCATTGAAGGCACAAATGACTTCACTTCTAAACATCTAATAAAGTGCAGGTCTGGGTGTTTTACTGGTTCCTGGGGATGTTTTGAACTTCAGTGCATTTATTATTGATACTGGTGTTGCTGAAAAGCATATTTTTAACATTTCCTCAAGGGTTACAGCTTTTCAGCTTGGGAACGTTTAACCACGGTATTTAATTCACCGTTATCCATCATGTTCCTCTTCTACTTTGTAAATAAAAATGTGATTTGAAACACATCTTTCACACATCAGCTTAAATTTGTCACGCTTATGTAAATGATCAAATCGAAAATAATGAGCTCACTTAAGCAGTGGAAAACACCTGCTACATCTTGATTCTAATAACAGTTTAAAGATATACATTTGCTTCAAAACATAACTTTCTGGGCAACATGGAGCCCTCTGTCTGCTCTCCTGACACACAATCAGCAGTCTGCAGTTTTTGCCAATATTTCTAGCTTGTAAACTTTTCACTCTGGATGTATTTCTTTTTACTGACTCTAACTAATGATCAATATGGACCACAGGGTAGACGCAAGAGTGTGAGGCTAAGGAGGGACTAATATGTTTTGGGGTGACTGAGATAGAGCAAAGAATTTCTACATCAACATTTTCCACATTCCAAGGGGGGGAAATGTGGTCCCTTTAGGTTCTCCCTATGCATTTTGACATTCTAGAGCACTGAGGTTCCAGATTTTTGCCCACTGTGTGGATGGTAGTGGGGTCACCCTTGTTCTGTTTCTACAAACCTAGAAAGCGGAGTATTTTTTGCCTGCTTTCCAGAGGCAGATTGAATGCTCTGTTAATTTCCATTTTTTTCGTTTTTTTGTGGCATTTCATGCCTGTAAATGATAAAATGCACGGCCAGGAATACTTTCAGGAACTTCAGAGTATCCTTGTCATTGTGTGCTCTACAGGACCGCTTAAAGCAAGCACATGTCTTCATTTTAATGAAGCCTTGGTATGCCTGTCATATTCATCCTGTAATACCCTCAGGAAGAGCAACAGAACACTGGCTTCAAAAGAAGGCCAACAGCTTTTGAAAATCAAGTGCTGATTTCACCAGGTCCCTGACTTGATGCCCACTGAAAAAGATTTAAAAAAAGGTATACACTGCTATCGTTTTGTGACAGAATGCCAGAGGTTGGGCAGCAATGATCACAATTTTTCTGAAGCGAAGCTCTGTTGACTCTCTGTTTTTTTATTTTTTAGGAATTATTGAATGAAATTATACTAATTCTCCCTTTATCAGTTGACAGTGCAGCTAACTCCACAGCTTTATTGCTAGAAAATCGTGACTCATCTATCATCTTAAACCTCCAACCAAGTGATCTGACTTGAATGTCTTTGACATTGGTGAATTCCAATTCTATATTTCGCCGTTTGATCTTAGGTACTTAGCAATAGGTTGCACATGGCACTGTGCATGCTCATTATTCACCACCCCAAGTATAAAATCAGCTGGACAAATCAGTGCAGATCCCCCATCTGAGTTCTTCACAGCTCTCAGTGACCGTTACAGAGACTCTGTAATCTGACGTTGCTTCTTTATGGTACACTACATGCGTTTGAACTACATGCGTAGTGCCTGAACACATGAAACCCTGCTCATGATTTAAAATACAAACACAGAGAAAGTAGTTTCACTTCATGTAAAATAAGTAATCTATGCTATTGCTGTTGATATATAATATACTGCGCACAATGACACACAAGCAGACCCTCAGAAGAATAGTTCGCTCTGCCCTTTACCTAGGTCAGTGATGAGGATGGGCTCCTGAAGAGGAATGTCTGGCAGAGGAAGGCTGTTCTTCACCACCCGGATCTTCTGGGGCTTGCGGGGGTATTTCTGCTTCTTCATCTGCATGCTCTTGAAGTGGGAGGCAATGTGAGTCTTCCTGTGTCCGGATGTACGGAAGATCTTTTCACAGTGGGGACAGGGAAACGGCCGCACACCTTCAAAGAATTCAAAGTGTCAAACAAATGCACATCAAAATGGAACCAAATGATTGCGTGTTTTCTATCCACTTGGAAATGCAACCTGGACAACAAGAGGACAGCTTTCCCCCCCATCTTTATACAGAGGTACATTAATTCCTATATTGAAAACTATAATTGACACAACAAAAAAGCAAAACAAATAAAATTCCCATGCAAATGTCCAATAGTCACTAATCATCAATCAGCAGTAATTCAGAATTTGTATGGCTTCAGAAAAATGGAATACACAACAACCCACAATCCCAAAATCAATAGTAATCACCAGTAGCATTATACAGTAGTGTGAAAATCCCCTTGTTATGTATTCACAAACTAAGGGAAAAAAGCAATTAGCAACTACGTTTGGGATTAACATAGTCAACTCCAAAAACCCTGTGCATTTTAATTAAATACCTAAAAATACTAAATGTTGTCATATTATTAACTAATTTACTGTGGATATGAGTAATGGAAATACAAGAGAAACTGTTCAGGTTTACAATGTGCCCCCTGATACATTTAACATGAATCCATTAAGATGTATGTTTCTTTAACATGGATGCTGCTGAAACGTTTATGCTGGTCTTAGTACCCCGACTTTGTATTATGTGTCAATTGCACTCACTTCACATGTTAGTGATAAAATATCTCTGCGACTCATACAAACAATTCTTGATGAATCAATTAGTGCATAATTCCAGCCTCATCTGGGGAACACTTTCGCTCAGTGCCACATTCTATTCTACAGGAACCAAAGCACAAAATGACACATAAAGGTAATTTTTCTCCATTGGCAGATGAAGCACTTGGCTTGGATCTTTATGCAGGTGATAAATTACCATGCACCGGTGATCTGAAGCCTCCAGTCCTGAAACAAGTTTAGTGCAATTTCAACATCCAGTCAAGCCGCGTCATCAATCGCAACTCTTAATTTAAGGTTCAAAGGGAAAGAGAGACTGCGGCAGAACCTTGATGAATGGATCGCTCAAAGAGTGCCCATATCTTTTTGTGGCCCTGCAATGCGGGGACTTGTGGTGTTGCATTCTTCGAGCCCAGCCCCCTCCCATCAACTCCCTGCCAAGGGAAAAAGGAGGCTCAGAGCTTCTGATTGCTCGTGTTGTGAAGCATCCAGCTACACTTGAAGGACTTGCCTTCAAGAGAGAGGTGAGTGTGAATCCATGTGCCAGGGTCACGACCAGAGACCACAAAGATAAGTTGGCAGCATCAGACTGGTGTCCATTGTATCAAAGGGGCATTCATCTTGTCATTCACCATCTCTGGTGAGTTGTCAAGCATTATGGGAGTACACAATAGCTCAAACAAAAAAAAAATATACCTGCTTCCTTTCACATTAATAAAAGTTTAGCTAGTCAAGTCACTTAAGTGAGAAAAGTACAGATGGAAAAGCACACATTTTACAAAGCAGGCAGACAGCTGAGGTATCACGGAGTAGATTTCTGATGAAGTATATAGAGCCAAACAATAAATCAACTGTGTTATCTACTTCACCTCATGAAGACAGACCAAACAAGAAACTGATAAACCTTCAATTCAATCATGAATGAAATGAGTTTACGTTGTTGGCTTTATCACAAGATTTGTGGCAAACTCCCAAGGATAAAGGAAGCAGTTACCCAGGGGGTCAGATAATGTACCTGTTAAACTCAGTCCTGTTTTTCTGGTTTTGTACTGTTTGCAGATTATTATTTACTCCAATGTACACATCAGCACTATATGCAGCTCAGCACTTTACCCTCCCAAAATGTCTACAAATAGGAAATTGTAGCTGACAGAGGGACAATCAAGTCTGGACTTGATCTTTGCAAGAGTGAAGATAAAAATTGAAAGAATTCATTTCTTGTTTTTTTTTTCAGTTTTTCAACAGAACCACTTTTTTACTGTTGTTTTCTTACACTGTGTTAATACTTTTGGAAGTAAAAAGAACAAGTATCAATATATAAACACCAAGCCATCTCCCACAAACACCCATCCATTTTTCAATTGCTTTATCCAATACAGGTTTGTGGGGGAGCTGGAGTTTATCCTGGCAAGCAACAGGCACAAGGCAGGATATACCAGTTCATCACAGGGCACACACATGCAACAGACATGCACACACTCACAGGAGGGCCAATTTTCCCAGAAGTCAATTAACCTATCAGTATGTCTTCGGACTATAGGAGGCAACTAGAGGACCTGGATGAAAGCCACATAACCCCAGGGAGAACTTACTAGCTCCACACGGACAGTACCCCAGAACTGAAATCAAGGCCCCAGTGCTGTAAGGCAGCTATGCTGACCACTGCAGCACAAAGCCATTCCAACCCACCCCAAACAAGTAAAAAAAATATCATTTGTATCTTTATTTTGAACAGCATGTCATGGAAAGCAGTTATTAAACATGAACATCCTATTCTGCGGTCTAATAAAAAAAACAGGCTCGACAATCACCAAAGCAATTACTGGAAACTACTGGAAGCACCTTTTTAACTAAGGAGCTAATTTGATTGGTAAAAAAGTACTAATTACACTGATGTCAAAAGAGTGATTGCACTGTCAGATACTTGCATGACTCAGATGAACAAACGGCAACATGCATAATGGCAACAATTCAAAAACAAAGAAAAAAATGCATAAGTTTTAAAAAAGTTTTTCTGTATTCCTGTGCTGTTTCTGAGTTGGAAAGTAACAATTTCTAAAGTGTAATTATGAATCACCAAAATTAAGCTAGAAGATGATTCCTTAGTTGAGTACTGTAAACTCCTTGCATTAAAGATGATTAAGTTTTACATTTGCATTATCCTTCATACAGATGTCTTAATCCTTTCCAAAATGTGGATTGCAATTACACACTTCTTTAAAACCCTGAAAGGAAAATTATGTTCTGTGAACACTGATATATCAAAAGCTTAACATTTTCAATCTCTTCTCTACAGCAATGTTTAGGTGATTATGCAAATAATTCGAGTTTTTTTTTTTAATTACTGGTATTTGCAGAATATCATGAGTGCCGAAATTAGCTATGTGTAGGTAACTTAGAATCTAAAAATGATAGCTAAGTCCAATTGTCAAATTTCTTAACCTGAAATTGTGAAATGTTTCAAATGCCCATTTCAATGTCGTATCATTTCGTTTAATTTTAGAATTTAGGAAAGGGTCATGAAACAATAAACAACACCAAATAATGTAAAAAAAAACATAAGAGTTTATACATATTAACAGCTGTTTAAAAAATAAAAATATTCCATTAATCTGATTTTGCATGTCGATACAAAATTTTAAAAATACCTTTATCCACGCATGGGTACTTATACAGTATGTTCATATAGAAATGAAATGCCCTTACATAAAACTATGTACAGTAAGCACGCCAATATGAGAGACATAGCATAGAAACCATAAAAATTACTCTAATCTCAAGAGAGAAAAAAAATGAAATCGAATAACTGTATCCTCTGTTAGTTTCCATTTTCTTTTCTGGCACTGGTACATGTTGCTTTCTGATAAGTTAATTCTTAGTATTTGGTATATTTAGAAATAATATCTAAATATCTGACACAGTTTAGGTGATAATTGTAGTAATAATCTCTTTCTGAATCTTGTCTTCTCTGTTTTTTTTAGCAGCAGTTAGGTTTTAGGCTTCCACAGGAACCATCTGTTCAATCTGGGTTTCCCAATAATGGCTCCAGGGAACCTCCACACCTGCTTAGCTTTATTTCCAGCCCAGCTCTTTACTTAACTGAAATAGCTAAACTAAACTAAGATAAGATAAGATCATTTTATTGACCATATACAATTTCTCGCATTAAGAATTATCTTTTCGCATACCCCAGCTTGCTTTCCATGAGACACAGACAGGGGGAGAGCCTGGGGTAATAGCGCAGAGTCTTCCATTGTACGGCGCCCCTGGAGCAGTTGGGGTTAAGGGCCTTGCTCAGGGGCCCAACGGAGTAGGATTCCTCTGCCGGCCGTGGGATTACAACTGGCAACCCTCCAGCCACAGGCGCAGATCCTTAGCCACAGGGCTGCCGCTCCGCCCCAAAAAACTAACTAAACTAACTTTGTAACCTTCACTGAACTAACTTTGTTTCATTTGAAAGCTGGAAATTTGAAGTTACTTCAAACTCCAACATGTTTTAAGAGCAGAAAATGTTAATTATGGTTTCAATCATATAACTGAGGGCTCGGCTGGAACAAAAACCAAAAGTTGTTTGGGGGTCACCAGGCTCAGGGTTATGAGCCCCTGTGCTAAACTATTTTTTTTTCTTTATGAGCCAAGGCTTGTGGACAGTGGAGAGCACTATGGTATAAAAGGAAACCATCACAAAGGACATAGAAGATGAAAGGACACTGGTACAATATAGTTTTGGTGAAGCGTTCTGGGGGTGTTGTGGTAAGTGTTGTGGAAACGTGGTAAAGAAAATACTAGTCCTAGAGTCCCAGGGCAAATCAAAAGACATTTACAGAATTTCACGAGTTTTTCAAGTGAGGCGCATACCTAGAATTTCACACAAGGCAACGCCAAAGGTCTTCTTCAGTGTTTTCAGTTAGGGTTGGTACATTTAATAGCATCAACATGAGGGACAGGTGATACCTGAGTCAATTCAATTCAATGTATTTTTATATAGCACCTTTCACAACAAGGGGCTTCACAATGCAAGTAACCATATGTTTTGTGAATACAGAACAGAAGACCAGAAGACAACAGAGGAGAGGAACCAAAAATTCCTTAGTAAGGAATAAATAAAAGTAAGTGCAATAAAAGGGACTACAATCCAAACAATATCCAAGATGAACAAGAAAATTGATTCTTTTTTGGGGATATTTTGGGACCTGTGATGAACAGAACTAGAAGAGAAGGTTATTGGAAGCGATTTGCGGGGGGTAATTTTTCAGAACGATTCTGGTGTTCACCTGGACTGGAGTTCACCCAGCTTGCGAAGGCAGACAGTCAGTGCTGGCACACACTCACCAGGCTCCTGCCAGCATCCCATTACTGCCCAACCTTTTGCTAAGGAGCCCCTGAAGTGCATTCCCAGAGGGAAACACATTTTTCTCATTATTTCTTTACCTCATGTATCACCACCAGCAGTTATTATTAATCATATTTCTCCAGCGACAAAGCAGCATTACACAGACTTCAGAGGTGTGTACTGTGGTTGCTCCTTTCTTCACACAACGCCTGCTTCCTGCTCACCAAAACCTGTACTTGCAATTTTCTTTTCTGTCTTCCATCATGGCAATAAATGTAGGAAGGTAGAACTCCAAAAGTGTGTGTCATAATCCTCTCAAAAAGAAAGTTCATATGAAATGGAGCTCAGATTTTCCTTCTTTTTTTACTTTATTGCTTGTGAATAATGCCACTAACGTGACAAAAGGAAGCGTGTGATTTTTAGCTTTTTCTGGATTTGAGTTTACCTGAACAAATGAAGCACAGACACACAATTAAAGAAACATTAGACCACAATGCCCCATCTTTTGTGTTGTCATAAAGAGAAGCAGGTAGCAATTTCAACTAGGACGTCCATCTCACCTGAGTACAGAGTATCTTCACGCTATAACAGAGCAGCTGGACTGAGCCAGTGGGACAGAGGACATTCCTCTCACCTGAGTACAGAATATCTTCATGTTATAGCAGAGCAGCTGGACTGAGCCAGTGAGACAAAGGACATTCCTCTCACCGAATACAGAGTA